ATGTTGATCATTCCTTCAGTGCTCTCCTTTCTATAATAATATGGATCTAGGAGAATATACCGGAAGTGCCAATTGGCAAAAAGGGCCCCTTACTTACTAATAAGCAGAATAAAAAAATAAAAAAAAAAACACTGCAGCATTTTAACAGAACAAAATGTAACCATTAAGCAAACTACACAATCAACAACTTCATTTGTCACTGTTGGCCACACAGATCTGAAAGACTTGCCACCCAAAGAATGAAATTTTAAAAACACTACTGAGTATCACAATAATTACTGACCACATACACGTGGAACTGTTTGCAAAAGTACAATTTCACCATCAACAACAAACAATGAAAATGATGCAGCATAAGAGACCAGTAAAGTACATGTATAAATCGGGCATATATAAAAATGGAATAAATGACTGATTTGCATTTTCCTGATCCCATATGTTCTCTTAGAGGGAGAGGGGAGAGGGAGGAGGGAGGGAGGGGGAGGGGGGAGAGAGAGAGAGAGAGAGAGAGAGAGAGAGAGAGAGAGAGAGAGAGAGAGAGAGAGAGAGAGAGAGAGAGAGAGACTTATTGTATTATGCAAGTTGACATATGATGCCAGACTTAAATTGTTTAATTTGTACAGACCAATCGACAGTCGGTGAGTGATCTGGTCAATATCTCGCTGTATCTAGAGGTATGCTGGAAGAAAACGGCTAATTCAGCACTAATAGGTGTTTTCTAATAGGTGTATATAATCACTCACATCAGAATAAATCCATGCTGAACCTTCTCCCAAAATACATCCATTTCTGTTCTTATGCTGGATGTCATTTAAACAAAAATGAGCAGCCCATGGCTGCATCATCATTATCCTGTTTTGATGGTATACGTCACACATCGCAAGCAATCTAGTCATCCATTTTGATCTTTTCTGTGCAATTCCCTTGATATCATGGATGGCATCCAGACTAGCTACATTCCTCACTCTCAACGTTCATCCCAGGGTTTCTCATGACTGTCCTTACTTCCTCAATCCATCTGTTTTCCTTGAGTGCTTGCTTAGTGGTTCTCTGTATGTTTCTCATGATGATGTGCCCAATATGTGACAGGATTACGGAGTAAATAAACATTTGATTAAATTGTGCAAGAGTTTGTATGTGAACAGTCAATGCGCAGCTAGAACAAATACAAGAATGTCAGAAATTAGATCTGGAGTGAGACAGAGGTACGTTATATCACCACTAGTGATCATCCCAGTTAATATCAGCAAGGTTACAACGTCAGAGAATGACTAAATGTATTGTTTTTCGTTGATGACCAGGCAATCATAACACCAAGAGCAGTAAAAGAACATATTAATAGACTTCACTCAGAATGTGACAAATATGATATGAAGATCAACGCAGACAAAACAGTGATGACATTCTCCAGAAAAAGAAGAACCGCCAATAGCAAAATTGATGAATACCAATTAAAGCAGGCGAGGATTTTACATATCTGGGAAGCATTTTTTCAGAAGACGGAAGAATGAATGAAGAAAACTAACAAAGATGCAATAAAACAAATCAAGTTTTAAAGCCAAATGGCAACAATTTTGAAATGCAAGCCTGTGAATATGAACAATAAAAGAACACTGTTTAACACAATATTCTTACCCACACTTTGCTATCTATGTCAAACATGGACACTGTCTTCAGAAGACAGAAGGAAATTGTCATGACAGAAATCAAATGTTTACGTACCATGCTAGGTGTAAAGAGGAAAGATTGACTTAGGAACAGTGAAATCAGGAGGAGAATCCCCACAGAACAAATACTGAATTTTATAGGTAGACAGTAAACCAAATGGTTTGGCCATGTAACAAGACTGGCAGCAGACAGGGCACCACAGAAAGCAGTGTTATACAGATACAGTGATAACAGATCCAGAGGTCAAGCACACAGAAGATGGACAATAGAAATATCAGAAACACTGAAAAATACTATTTATGAAGCGAACAGAAGGGCCCGTTCTAGAGATTTCTTCCTCCCCTGAAGCTGCGAGGCATTCCAGGAGTAGAGAAAAGAAAGAAGATAGAAATATATTACCATCTTCTCTGTCATATAACTACTGATACAAGTGGCTGTCCAGACATTTACTTCATCACCTGCCTTGAATTCATCCCATTTTATGTTCTCATGCATTTGATTTTGAATGCTTCATTCAATGTCTTTAGTGGTTCTGCAACTTTGAGACTTTTAAAAGCTGCTGTTACCTTGCCAATGTGCATCATAAATCTTTTCTTCTAGCCTTTGGCAATCAAAATTGCTACCTAAATATGTAACATATGTTACTTTAATTCCCTTTGTCTCCAGTCCGACATCAGCTTGAACTTTTGCTCATGTCTTCAGAATATTTGTCTTTCCATAAGTGATTTGTAATCCAACCCTTGATGCTATATTTGCTAATTATATGTTTGTCAAAGCGGGTCTTACTCAGCAGAACAATTTCATCTGCAAAATTAAAATCCTCCAATTGTGTGTCTTCTGCCTAGAAACCTGCCATCTTTGTCTTTCGCTTGAGGAATAAGTGTATGATAACCTACTCCTGCCCATTTCTTGATGTCATTCCAGATTCTTCTTTGCTTTCTTCTTCTTTGACTACCCAATAATGTTCCTTGAAGTGCAGTCTTTGCAATCCAATCATGTTTCACCACATACCAGAACCAAGCTAGCTTGCGACGTTTCACCACTGCCAAGAGAGGCCCCTGATGCCCGCAAATTTGTATATTTTGTCTCTGACATATTTTTAGTTTTGTGTTCTAAATAACTAATTCGTAAAATGCACTTCCTGCATGAAGCCCTGGGTAGAGCTAAGGGTCACGGACTGAAAAGAGAAAGGTCTTGGATGGCGCAAGATGAAGAAACGACTGGACATGTGTGCAGGGTCAATAAATTTCAGCGAGGAGAGGAGTGGGTCAAAGTGTCCAAGCAAGTAACAGAATTGTGTAGGGTTCTTATCCCTTTGAGTTGCGAGTAAAGAGTCCAGCGACTGGCCAGCTGGTGCTGCAGAATCAGAAGTTCAACAAATGATTCATGACAATTTCCGCCCAGGTGATGTGATTATTTAAACATATGGCTCTGTGTTGAGGGGCAGACAAGGTTCATGGGGGTTCAAAAGCAAATGCATCACTTGGTGTAGCAAAGCCTGGCATATAATACCTAAATGTCTAGTTTGAGAATGGAATTGGAAGCAGTCACTGCTGCCTTCTGCTGGCTTGAGAATCAGCTGCGCATACATGACATGATTGTAACTGACTCGCACAGCAAGTTGAGAAATGTGGAGACAGGCATGCTCCGTGCAGAGTGGCAAGCATCACTTCAGAGGTCCCGAGTAGTAAACATCCTTTGGATATTTTATCCAGGTCATACCGGTGTGTTGGGAAATGAGGAGACAGATAGTCTGCACTGCTCAGTGGTGAACTGATGTAAGACACGCTGGATGTTCTGAGGGCTCTTTGGGAGTGACTGAAGAGTGCGTGCGGAGGCACAGATTTAGGAGCACCAGACAGATAAATATGGTCTGAGGAGAATGATGCTGCGGGGAGTTACAAGGGGATCTGACTGGTGCCAAGCACTCAGGGGAAAGGTGAGACGGATATACAATCAGACAGTTACTGATGCAACTGGAATTGGAACTCTTCGCTTGCTGCTGAAGATGGAAACAGAGCGCTTATGGGGGGTGTCCTGAGTGCCGTAATGTCGATTTCTATTTCAACATATCATTAGGGGCAGGAAGTACAGAAAGTATAAAACTACTACACATGTGTGATTAGTGTGAGATTGTGAGCCCAGACTAACATCAATACTGTAGATTACTAATAGTATCTCAACACTATCACTCAGAGAAGCTGCTTAACCAACTTGTACGGTTGCGTCCAATTCCTCGAGAGAGTAATTTTTCACACTTAACTATAGTGCCAGGTTTAAGAGAAAAGTCAAAGAGATGTGACCCAGGTAATTCTCTGCTGCATTCATGTTTACTGATGATTTATCATGTTCGTATGGAAGTTAATATTATTTTGGTCAATATAAGGATTTATCATCTCTTTCAAGAATTTGGTTCATGATTTCTTTCACCAGGTCAACAGATTAAACATATGTGTACAATAATCAGTGATGTCGAGAAACGAAATTCTTAGTGAGCACATGCAAAACAGGAATAAGTAAATAAAACATTCACTAATATCTTAACTTTCTGCTTTTCCATTTAATTAGCTACAGGAATTCTGTAGATAAACGTTGCTGTGCACACCAAAAAACCATGTTTAATAATGTAATGCAAGAACAGGATAGTTATTTTTGTCAATGGAAGTAAGAACATTGAGGCCCACAAACATACTGCCCACCTAATGGTGAAAAGTGAACGAACAAAAAACACAGAATCATCACAATTACTTTTCCACATCTGCCTAGAGAAGTCAATACTTCCAAAACATCAGAAACATTGGTAACTCCTCCAAGTTTGTACTATTTTAAACTTACTTCTTAACGTTATCAAAATGTTTGCAAATTTCAAGTGTTAACTTCAATGCTAACAAAAGCGTATAATATTTAATCTCTATAAGCACTTGACAAATGTATAGAAAGTAAAGGACCCTATTCCGCGTCTTCAGGCCTGTTGGGCATATAGGAAGAAAAAAAAAATCAGCTTTCCTTGAATTTGAACCTGCGACCTTCGGATCTGCGAGCATTTAGCTGCGACACAGCAGCGGCTCCCCATAAATATATAGTCAAATGCATTTTATATGATTTGACGATTCAATTTGTTAAGGCAGACTTCTATTTAAATAAGCTTTAAAACAATGTACAACAAAAACACTAGAACAACCATCAAAAATATAAGAAACACTGCATGCACACAGCACAAAACATAGAAGTTCAAATAAAAAAAAAGGGGGTAGCTAATTACACTATTTACAAGTAAAATAATAAATAAGTAAACTCAGGAGGGCACCACAACACAATGCAAATGCCCATACCTGGAGTTAAGATTCTTCCTTAGGCTGTAGACTTGTTTTCTAAATAAAGTAAGTCCAAAAATAAAGTCACATTTCTAAAATACTGAAGAATATTGTCATATATGTATATGGACATGCTAATTAAATGATAATGCACAGATGGGTGGGGGGTTTGCCAGAAAGGGGAAGGGGTCATCAAGGAGGCAGAAGTGGGATAAATGTTTTAAAAAAAATAATAGTAATAAATCAATGTTATAAAACTTAACGTTTGTTCTAAGATTAAGCAGAGTAAGTTAATAACTTCCAAAGACACCCATAAAGATGATGACAGGAAACTATTTTTAAAATTCAGGTTATATGTAAAAATAAACACATAAAACCTATGACAATATGCTGACACTTGAATGCTTGAATACACAGAATAACATTTCTGTTGTAATTACTGTACTTCCAAGATACACTTTTCCCAAAATACAGGGTCTAAAAACAGTGTACATCTTATACAATGGTAGTGATTTTTACCAAATGATCTGTTAGAAAATATCCCGTACAGAGCCTCATTTGGGAATGCTGGTTCAGAGACGACATACAATGTAAAACACATTTAAAAACAAATTATTGATTCTCTCCTGCTGTGATAGTATTTGTGCTTCTCTTCATGCTCATTGTTTTGCATTTGTTACATTAGGTCAACCACACAAGTCAATCATTTGAATTATTTAGGATCTATTTTAAGTGACCCAGGGTCCAGACCAGAAATCATGTCTAGAATTCTCCTGTCAAAATCAGTCCTTCCCAAACAGCAGATATTTTGGAGTTCCAAAAACTATTCCTGAAAAACTAAGCTTGGACTGCCAAGAGACTAGCTATTAGTACATTTACTCCCTATGTAGGTTCCAGGGCCCTGTTATAGGGAAAACAAGAATAGACCCCCTGCCTACCCAAAAGCATGACTAATTGGGAGCTTCCTTTAAAGTCGGAGTGCATCTGCCTGAGAGGCAAGGAACCAGCAGTCTACATACAAATGAGTCAGATCTGTAAAACGGATGCACATACAACACTCGAGTTCTGGAACAAAACTGCAGTCCAGAAGTGGATGAACAACCAGAACTTTCCGCCAGAGTTTACAGCTGGTAAGCGCTAAGAAGTAGTAGTACATTTACATATGGCCGGGAAACTTGGATCTTCACTGACCTCGCAAAGACGATGAAAGCATTGGAAATGCGATCTTTCAGAAAATTATCGGCATATCATACAGGCCACATCACAAATGTTGAACATCTTTTAACTACAGTAAGAAGGTTGAAAATGCAATGGTATGGACAAGTAATAAGATCGGAGGACCTCTCAAAAACAATACCACAGAGCTCAGTAGAGGGAAAGAGGAGAATAGGCAGACCAAGACAGACCTGGATACACAACTTAACTCTCTAAACCATAAAGCTCAACACATCTGATCGTTAAAGGTGGAGGGAGCTGACCAGACAGTCAACAGCAAATGGTGACCCAACGACATGCAGTGCTTTGGGATGATGATGATGATAATGACATTAGGTTACGTTTTGCCCATAAATGACTGAAAAGATTTGTGTATGCAGTCGAATTCAAGATAAAAGTGATTCAGTTTGTAAAAATAATTAGAAATCGTACTATTTAACATAAATGTTGTCCTCCTCCAACTCAGAAAATTGAAGATTGAGATCGTTGTCTTCAAGAAGTGGGGCATTTCAAAATACCACAGATGGATCTAGGGGTAAGGCCATATATGATGACTGATTTGTCATCAGACACTGACAAGGACAAGCTAAAGAACTATCATTGGGATGAGAGTTTTGACAGTGAAGAGGGGTTTTCTGGATTCTATGATGAATAAAACGTGAGTTCAATAACTCTGGGTAACCATTTTATTTTTTCACAATTTCCTGTCGCAAAATCAAGGTGCATCTTATACATGGGATCATCTTATACTTGGAGATATATGGTCATTTTGATCTGAATGATATATACATTTAAAATACACTTAAATACACTCAAACCTGTTTTACCGACCCAAATCTGATGGATACTGGAGGCAACACACGGAATCTGAAGCAGCTAATTTAGTATTTTTGTAAAGTTTTAATGTTAAATACACCCATGGAAGAGGCTATAGCAATACCAAACAAGGGCCCTTATAGCAGAAACAGAGAGGAGCCTACAGAACCATCTTAATCAAGTCAATATCATCATAACAATTTAGTAGGTCCTCGACTGAATGTCATTCTCATCACAATCTACCTGAAAGAAACTCAAGATGCTCACCAACTCTCCAGTAATTTCCTACAGAAGGTGTCTGTTAAATCTCGTACCCATCCTCATGCTGGTTAGTCCTTGATCCTATTTCCTGGCACCATGCCATCTTAGCAACTCTTTCAAATTCATTGTGACACTTGAAACGGCAACAATATGTCAGTTTCAAAGATGTTGTTTACAGGCAAAACTTCATTATTTTCACATCTTCTAGGATATCAATATTTCTTTTCTTTCCATTTCATGGTACTCTAAAAATCTTTTTATAGCGTTCAGCTCAAAAGCCGTCATTTTCTTTCTGACTAATTACAAGACAGTCTATGACTCACAACTGTATGTTGCTACAGGAAAGATGCATGTTCTCAACATTTTGACTGTGACTTCAGTGCTGGTGCTTAGCCACAGACATTTAGTTCTGTTTAATTGTTTGCAGTGCTATGGCCATCCTCTTTTTAACTTTTGTTGATCAGTTTCGTCTCCACTGGTGCTGATTTTATGAAGGCTGGTTACTGTGTATCATCACTGTCCACAAAGTGAGGCTCCCAAACTCCTCCATGGTGAAACCCTCATACATGAAGGTACAAAATAATTCACCAACCTATCAGCCAAAGACCTGCATGCAAATATTTATTATGGAGCTCAGACATTCAAATTTTGTGACATTTTCTATTTATTCTGATATTATTTTTTGTGTGGACCACAGGCAGTTGAAAAGTACTTTAGATGAAGTGAACAGAAGGACCAGTTTCAGAGATCTTTTCCTGTCCTGATGCCTAGAGGCATTGCAGGAGTAAGCAAAAGAAGAAGACATAGTAAAGGGAAGACCATGCAGAATGGAAAAAAGAAATTGAGAACAACTTATAAAATGCATCGGACAGAGCACGAAGAAGACGTTTACACACCTCCCCCACCTCAACACTTTGCTGAAGTAAGTGGAGAAGATGACCAAAAAGATGAAGATCAGCTCTACATTTTTGTCTTTTGTCAATATCTGCTTTGTGCTGCTAGGTACTGCAGCTTAAAGAATGACAGACAGCCAAGCCAGGGCATGCTCAGTGGCTTGGTATGCTTTGATGGATAGTCATAAGCTGTCACGGACTCTGAAATCCTTTTCCATCTAGGTATCCCTCTGCCTGTTGGTATTTTCATTTTGTAGGCTCTCAAACTGGGGTTTCGGAGCTGAAATGCTAAAGAAAGATTCTCAGAATATCACGAACAAAGAAAAGAAGAAATAGTGACACTTTAAAAGTTCTGAACATCAAGAAGGATTGGTTAATAAATAAAATCTTGTCTCAAAAGCTTAATTTTGTCATATCAAGCGCCATGGCGTACTGGAAAAATTAACAGCAGAAGGCACTGCATCAGGAAGGAAGGCCAGTGGCTAACCAGCATGAAGATGGGCACAGGATATAAGTGACTCCTTGAATATGAAAGTACACGGGGCGGGAGAGCTGGCAAGAGACAAGAGTTTCTTTCAGGCAGACTATGATGACAGCGGACCTGCTACATGATTATGGTGAGGCTCTCACAGGATTCATTCAAATGGCCAAAACATTTCAGTCTTCATTCCTCAATGAATTTAATGATGGGTCCGTTCTCTGCTTCACTTTCCAGTGGAAGAATTCGATTCATTTACAATAAATAAGCTACTATTTGCATTCTATCCTATCCGTGCCTGCTCTACAATGGTTAAAAAAGAAGGGGAAGGGGGTGGGGGGGGGGGGTTAGGCTACAAGATCATTTCTTCTTCTTCTTCTCTTCCACCTTGTACCTCATCGAAGTGTCGGGGGGTCATTTAAACATATTAAGTTCAAAATGTGAAATATATCAAATTCACAACTAAAAATGAAGTAATGCATGTCAGTAGAATTTATAATTGATAACAAATCGAGTTGAATGGTGTTTATCAGAAGCAAGTAAACAAATTCAAATATCTAGGTTGTATTTGGTCGGAGGATAGGAGAACATATAGGAAAACAGAAACAAGATGCCAATGAGTCAGTACATTTAAAAACCCAAATGACCCTGTTATTACGACATCCACATTTTCCAAGGATTGGGAGAGATTAACTGTGTGAATGAGTTAATCATTACTATTATTAAGTTTACAGGATTTCAGCGACACAGATAGGATCAGTCTTATATCAAGGCAAAGTATGACAGCGGAAAAAAATATAAACAACATATTCAACCCAACACTGTCCCAAACTTGGACATTATCAAAAAATCTTATTCTTTGCATTTGGTTTCATATGCTCAGATCAGACTGTCAGGTAGGTTATCTCTATGAACTGGCATGTCAGCTACAGGTCCTTTATGGTTTCCCACAGCTTGATCTGCACACTTTGCTCTTGGGGGCAAGGTTATTGTAATTGCAGGTAGAGTGAGCAGGCCTGCAGAATGTGCACAGGAGTTTGTGGTCCTGTCTGATGTGCACACTGTGGAGTCTGTACAGTCTTTACTTTATGCATTTGGTAGTTGAGCCTCAGTGTCCTGTTTTCAGATAGACAATTTTTTGTATGTTGCTTTCTGTTGAGTCTGCTGATAGGGTATTTTAAGTTTATATTGTTGGTTTGTTCTCTCCACAATTTTATGTATTTTCCCTTGAGAAGTGTTTTGATTTCTGGTAATGACAATGAATGGGTGCATAGTTTCTTCTTTGTTTCATTTTTTGCAAGTCTGTTGGCAACTTGTATGCTGGTACCGCAGTGACCCAGGATCTCCAGAGAACGATTTCATTGTTTTCTGAGAGTTTGTTTAGCTTGCAGGTCAGTTCACTCCATGTTATCTATGAATCCCTTTGAGCCATCTGGAGGACTGACATAGTCACACAGAAAAACAATTTTGCTGTTTTTAATTTTTTCTTTCCTTAAGCACTTTGGCTGCAAAAATAATTGCTTGCAGCTCTACTATGAAGTTTTTTACTCGAGGCACATGATGTTTTAACTGTTGCCCCAATCTTGCAGCATGATGACCAAACCAGCTTCTACCGTTTTTGCAGCCCCTCCAATAATCCATCGGTGTATATGTATGTCCATTCTAGTTTTGGGTAAGGGTTAGGCTGTAGGCCTATGTTGTTGTTGTTCGTTCATCACAGGTGATGATGACCACTCCATTCATCCAATGGTGACTGGATTAGGTTTTATGAGTGCGTAGATAGCTGATAATCCCATTTGTAGCACTGAAAGTTCTTGATGTAGACAGGAAATTGAGGCTGAATCTCTCTGGTGATTCACTTCAGTGTCTTTAATGACTTATTTTTTCTGAATTGCTGCTGCAGTTCTAGCAGCTTCATGGGCCACAGCTCCTCGATAAAAAGAGGAGCACAAGGATGAGCGGTCACATGCTGCGACTTCTCAGGTCTTTGCTGAAGGGTCTTTAGAAAAGATGTCTTTGTTTTTGGTGCAAAACAATTTTGATAAGATGATGGAAGTTTTCTCTTTTCAGCTGGTTTTTCTGTTGTTTGCTATTCTGTGAATTGGGTTGTTGCTTATGCGTTTAAATTTTTATGTCCGGCACTAAAAATGCAGCCATCTTTGATGGAAGCAGCAGTTACAACATATCAGTAATTGCACAAGCAATTAATCACATAAGACACTACCTGTTCTCTGGCATCAGGCTACCTGCCATGTTCCGATTCTGCAGTTTACAACATAAACTATGCTAGGCACAGTAAAAAAAACTTTAAAAAAATTAAATATGCTGCTGTGTCGCGCCATGCAGCTAAATCAGTAGCTGAACTGTTTTCTTTATATGGAGGAAAATACAATGGCTAACTATTGTCAGAAGCAAAAAGTTGCCACGACTGAAAACAGCCAGCATGCCTATCCCCCTCACTGGTGAGAATTCTGTATGTGATCTATATGTTCATATCAGCACATGAATGCTCTTGTCATCAAATGCAAGTAAAAAATTTTTTACTAACATTTCCAACAATAAGTTGCATTATGAAGCCCAAAAGCAAAATTTGTCAAAAGCTTATACAGCAGGTATAAAATATGTAAGGTAGGTATAGTCTTAACGCAGAATTAGTAGCTAAAAATACTGAGGCTGACTTGTATGCCGGGTTGAATTTGTACACCTCAATTTAAGGTAGGCACCATTATGTACCTAAACATGCATACCTAAAGCTAAAGGGGGAAAAAGTGAAGAAAGATTAAATAACTGATGAAATAAAACTCAATATTAATCCCCATTGGATGGAGAACATCCATTTTGAGAATCAGCTGATTCTACAAGCTAAGAATAGTGATGAGTTTTTGCAGCTAGATCTTTTTATAGGAAAATCATCCATAATTCTATTCACTTCTAACGACATGCTTGGCGGATGCAGTGTTAGGGGTAGTATTTTGCATGCCTTTCTTTGATTGAAAACAATTTGACCTCTTAAAAAAAACATTGCTTATTCTGGTACCGCCAAGGGTCTAAATTCTGATGTTTCTAAAACCTACCTTTTCTTCACGTATTATTTTCTTCCCCCCAACCGTCAGAACATAAGAATAACACTAAAACAATCATTTTGGGAGTGATAAAGAAGTCATATACTAACTTTTTAGTTTACAAAAAATATAGTCTTCTATTCCCAGTGTCATTTGAAGGTTTAACAGAGATGGCATAAATGTGCCAGTTCTAATTGTGGCTATGTTGAAAAGGAATACACACTAAAGAAATAAAGATATCTGATATTTCCTTCATAGTTGGTGAAAAGACTTAAGGCCAGTCTCTTGTTTCTGAAAGTATTTCATGAAAATGTGTATACTCACCTGTTAATCAAATTACTGCTTTACTAATAATACTAATAATTAAGATATAATTTGGAAATAAAACAAAAAACAAATGCCTTCTGTATTTCGTAATGAATAAACCAACATTTACCTGTACATTTGAAAAGTTCTGCTGGAGAACCTGGAAAATTTGAAAGTCTGGACTGATTAACGTGCTGAACAGAATGGATTTTCAGACTTGTTTTCCCGAGTTAATTCCTGGATGAGCAAACTGATTAGCATTAGATTTTTTTGTAAACTAATAAGCACTATACAAGTTTCAACAAAATAAAATAATGTATACAAATGAACTGTCTCACTATAAAAAAAAAAAAAAAAAATTGATTATTCACAAACCTTTTTCCACTAGTAGTTGCAGAAGTTGCCCCGTGTCGCACTATATGCCGTTTTCCTGATGTTACCAAACTGCCACTATGACTCACGTTGTTGCTAGATATATGACTTGGCACTTTTGAAGATTTCAGGGAAGACAAAATGCTCTGAGCATTTCTGACCCCAGTTTGTCGGGATGTTTGCACAGGAGATCGTTTATGACCTTTTGGCTCTTCACAGCTGAACAACAGGAAGACAGATAATCAGTTATTACTTGAGTAATTGTGCAAACAGGCACACAAAAACAGAATTAGAACAATGTAATACGTGATTACAAATTAGGTAGGCAACTTTAAAAGAATATGTTTGGTTTTAAATCAGTTTATAAGGATGCAATGAATGAATTTATTATGACATAATTTTTGTTCTACTTCAACGTTCATGTTAATTCACATGTGCAGAGGTTAGCACAATGATAATTTTGCCACAAAATTTATTCTGCTTCTTCTGTTCTCTACTCCTGGAATGCCTCATAGCGTCAAGGCAGGAAGAGATCTCTGGAACGGCCCCTGTGTTCACTTCGTTGAAAGTGATTTTAAGTGACTCTGACACAAAGTTTACTGAAAGTAATTAATGTACTTGGACAGCATTTTTTCTTTACACAGGTGTTCAAACTCAATCTTTATTAGTGAACAGTGGGAAAGCCTTACACTTTCAATTGTCACTGATTTGGATAAAATCACTCCCTAGTAAGAGACAACACAGAATGACAGAAAAATTCCATTAAATTCAGTGCAACAACAAGCATATTGTGATGACTGCCATGGTGGATACTGGTGGACTACAAGCAAATAGATTGAGGGCCAAGACCTACCAATTAATTGTTTCGAAGCTGTGCACAAAGTGGAGGGCAATATCTATCCCCTCATGAGCCTTCTATTTATTCTGATTAATGCACGGGGAGATGCAGCAGATGAATGAATGACCTCTACTCATTCTTGCTGCCCCTCCCCCTCCACTGAATTAGTCTTTTAATTATGAATTCTCTGTGTGTTCTATTTCACTTTAATTTGATCTCAGACAGCCTTGACAACATCCACTTTATCATAAAGTAGCTCACTGCCCAAAGGAGAGGCAGCAGCTAATCTATCAGCCTGCTCATTAACTCACACATCTGAATATCCTGAATAGAAAATCCATGATATGCTTCGGATCTGAGTCTTATCAAGGAAATCAAGCTCACTCTGCATGCAGGACGCCAGTGACAATTTTCAGAAAGCATGCTCTGTGAGTATGTTACAATTACACAATGGGCTGTGCTGTTCTCAAACCATCGACAAGCTGCCATGACCACCTCCACACACATACTGGATGCTACATTGTACGCCAGGCTCTCTATTTTCAAAGTGTTCAATTTCCCCTTGCAATAAAACCCTACCCATTCTTCTAACCTCTCACTACAGAGCCATCTAATTATGTCACCTGGGTATGAATTTTCATTGATCAGCTCATGCCCTGATGACTTTATTCACCATCTATCCATTCCTGGTATCCTCGGTCCAAAGTAACAATCACTATTTGCATGGCTGTTTTACTGGGCGACACTGTGATCCATTACTCACCATGTGCTATTCAGTCAGTAGTAGAAACATTTCTAATAGTGACTTCTACTTGTGCCATCAATGGGCAATCACTGGTCACCTCTTTTCAGCCAATGCCCAATGCTCTCCTCTTAGGTCTCATGCAGGTGTTTCCTGCCTAGTGTGGCTTCAAGGTACACTTTCACCTGCAAAACCTTGAATCTTTCACATATGGATGGTTTTGGCGTGTCCAAGATATCAGTAGATCTGCAAATTCATAGAACATATCCTGACATAATCTGATATTCTTAGAAAAGATCAGATTCTTTAGCATTCCTCAACTTGCCACATTAAGATAACAGAAGATGGTTCCGCATGAATCAAGAATTAACAAGTAGCAAATTTTGAACCTCCTTGCCCTGAGAGGCTGATGTTTCTTTACTGCCATCCATCACAATTCCACGAGCCCCCAAATATTTGGGTTTCACAGCACTGGTCAGTCTCCGCTATATCAGCTTTGGTACTCATGGCACCCAGTGTTAAGAAGAGCCTGATATGATCATTTAGTGACTATTTATTTTATTTAATTATCTGCTTTGGTCATAATTAATGATAACTTAAAATTATTTTTTTTTAAACTACTACTCTGTAAAATTGTTAGTTTACATTCTACCTTTACCTAATAGAAACAAACATTATTATGTGTCTACTGCACTATTTTTATCAAAGCAATGTATAAAGGTTCAGAGTATGCAGTGTGAACAGATGATAGTTCAAGCGGGTGATGAAAATATGCTGTGTTAGAAACACCAGCACTGACTGGGTAGAAAACACACAGTTGAAAAATCTTGCTTTTGGTGATGATAATGTTCTGCTAGGCAAAAACAACAATGAGATGTGAAGAAAAAGATGATTTAGCAAATACAGCATCAAAAGTTGGACTACAAATAAGTTATGAAGAGACAAACATATTGAATATATTGAATGGAAAACATCCTTCTTGGACGTCTCCGACAGAGGGCACGGAAGAGGAATATCAGATCTACCTTTGTGCAGCCTCCATGATGGACATCAGAAGTAGAACAGGCATGGAAGTTAAAGAGAGCTGCATTAAAACAATTAAAGAAAGTGCGACAAACATCCCTAAGCACCTGAGAAGAATTAAAGTGCGCGGACAGAGTTAAGAAAGATAGGATAGAGGTTTTCAAGCATTGTACAGCAGAGACCAAAAAAGCCAAATGGGGACATTTTGTTAATGAGACTGGGGGCAATAAGACGTTGGGAAAGTTTTGGAAGCTACATAGGCAGATGGTCAAGAAAGATTGGCCCAGTGTAGTAGGAGCAATTCATAAAGATGACGCTGAAGAGGTTCATTTCAAAGACAGACCACAATGAAGATATCAGAGATAGAGTTAGAGAAGATCTGGCAGCCATCTTGAAGAACAAACATTATGAAGACATTGGTGGAAGATATAAAACATCTTCTGCAAAGGGTGAAAGACACTGCATCCGGGCCGACTGGGTTAGATATTCCCACATGAAAGACCTGCTGTGTAGGGTTACGATCACATTGGGCCGGGAGTGCAGAGTGGCCAGGGGGCGCTATGGAGGTAGAAGTCTAACAGTTGATTCACGAGAATTTACGCCCAGGTGATCTGATTATCTATACAGATGGTTCAGTGTTGAGAGGAAAGAGAAGTGTTTGGATATTCATAGCAAAAGCCAATAGAAAATCTTTAGTGCAAGACAGTCTAGCTTATGACATCACAACATCTAGCATGAGCAAGGAGATGGAGGCGGTAACTGCAGCTCTCCAGTGGCTAGAGAACAAGATACACACATGTCATTATTGTAACAGACTCTGAAGGCATGCTGAGAAAGGTGAAGGCAGAGATGCTTTGAGCAGAGCGGCAAGCTTCACTAGGAAGGTCATAGGCAGTAAGCGTACTTTGGATATTTTCTCCAGGCAATGCCGGCATAGTGGGTAATGAACAGGCAGATAGATTGGCTAGATCTGCACCACTAGGTGGTGAATTGATACATGACAAGGCAGATGGGGTCAAGGCCCTTTGGGAACAAGCAAAGGGAATCAGTAGAGAAACAAGATTATTATGGCCTAGAGATAATGAGGCACCTGGATGTAACCAGAGGGTCTGGCCGGCTCACTACACTCAGAGGAAAGGCAAGACGGACATATAACCAGTTTGTGACCGGTACCATCAGTTTTGAAACTCTGCGCTTGCTGCTGAAGATGAGGATGGAGCACCCATGGGAATGAACAGAATGCTGTGATGTCAATTCTTGACTTAACTCAACTCAAATATATTAAAGTCACCAAAAACACATCAAGCAGATGTAACACTAGAGGAAAACAAATTACAGTAACAGATCAAATTACCAATTTAAGTAGAAATTTTGATAATCAAAGAAATACAAAGAAAGAAATTATGACAAGCACTGGCAAGGCATCAACAACTTTTAAAAGCCTGAACAAAATATGGAGCTGTAAACTTATAGTTTAAGAACAAAATTATGTATTTTCAATTCTAATATTATTTCAGTGTTAACTATAGACATGGAAAGTAAAATGTTCCTGAACACAGATTCGGGAAGAAAATGCTGCACACAAAATGGGACGATTCAAAAGGAGTGAAGAAATAAGAGAAATGTCTGGGCAACCACTGGTACAACAGTTTTAAATGAGCAATCACTTGTAACAATAATTATAAGACATAGATAATAAGACTATATTGGACATATCCTGAAATAAAATGAGCAGAGAATCATAAAACAAATACTAAAATGAGTAAAAAAGGGATTGAGGATGTGAAGACATCCAAAAGAATCCCTACTATGCACGTTGACCTGACAGGCTGAGGTGCTGGACTGGATTCCAAGGACCACATTAAAGGCATTGCCCAGAATAGAAGGGAATAAAGGAACCTACTGCAAGCGCTAGGTAACACATAATTCACAACAGGACAATCATGAGGATGAGCAGACATACTGTTAGTTTGATCTTTTTGTAATCCTATCCTCTTTAAAGTTAGTAAATATTTCCGCTTCAGGGTAGAGTGGCTCATAGGGCAGAGGTCATTGCTCCTCATGTCTGGCGGTTCGTTGCCACCTGTTATGGGTGTTTGTTAGGCATCTTTAAATTAATTTTTTATTTTAACATTCATTTAGGATCCTTGGTTTACCTAGACTGAGATATGTATCAAGAAATGTCCCAGGAAGTGAATAATGACATTACTATTCAAGTTTTCTGTTTCTACATTTGTTAATATCTGCTCTGTGCTGTCAGGCCTCACAGTTTAAGTCTCTGAGTCCCAAGGAAGGCATCACGCGCTAATTGGTTACTACTTGGCGGCCCAAATCAGTGCGTGACGTGTGACGATTTTTAATTTACCACTTATCAGTAACTACACGCGAACCGCTCAATTTAAACTTCCTTTCCGGTTCTCAAGTGTGTAGTGAACACACATGGAGTGCATTCGTTTGGGTCTGGTGAGTTCTTAACGCTTTAAATCGATATTTGTGTGGTCTACTGCGTTACCAAAACAACTGTCTGAAAACAATATGTCTGATCAGTCATCGTCTTCACGCCCAGCAAAGCGATTTACTGCTTTAGAAGCATCAAATTTGATAAAACAGTGGATCGATCAAAGTAATGTGGTGTTGAATAATGAGAGTAGCGACGTGGAATTTCCCTAAACCGTTGAGTCAAGTATTGATAAGGATGTGTGCATAATTTACCTTCTGCTAAGAGGACAAAACTAATTCTGCCATGGCAACACAAGAGAATAGTGGTGCTGAAGCACCTCGTAACGTGACACCAGCTAGTCCAAATGTCAGCGCTTCTAGTACTACTATCCATATCATCTAAAACCATAGATATATATCTATGGACAGGTTGACATGTTTACAGTGCCTTTACAGTTTTTTCTATGTGAGGAATTCAACTGTTTTTAGAAAAGTCACTGTTTGTGCCACTGGAGAATACATTTTGATGTGTTACGGTAGTGTTATTAAAATTGCTATGGAACAACAACTATTGCACATTTTGCTTTAATATTGGCTGTGCATACTTATAAGTGGTTTACCTTCCTTTGTGATGCATTTTGGATATACTATACCAAGAATTTTGGGATCAGCTTCTGGGTAAGTGGGAAAAACTTGTTCATAATTTACTCACATCTCAAACCAAGTCACTGTTTTCTCTACTAAATACTAACTAACGGTATAATTGTTTTGTTGTAGCAGTATGCTAATATTAATCTTTATCCATTTATGTTTATTTTCATGTATGATATGTTTATGTTGCACATCAGCTGCAGTTGTGTGGTTTGTTTTAAAGTGCTGCATTTGTTAAAAGTTAAAATCATATTACCCCCCCCCCCCCCTCCTGGGCCTCTTATGCAAAACCCCCTGGGACTCTAAAGAGTTATTGGATCATACGTCACATTAGGTTGCCTAGTGTACTGTGTGTGATACTGGCATCTTTGGATTCATTATCACTTAATGGCCAAACAGTTTTTGTTTTTGTTTCTCAAAAAAAATGTAATTATGGGTATTGTTTTGAAAGTTCTTCTAATCTTGTCATGGTTATTTTTGTGTGTGTTTACTATGAGTGTAACATGGCTGATCAATTCTCACTGGTACCTTAAAGTGGCAGTGGACAGGGCACATTTTCTACATAAGGTACTGGGTGAAATAAAAAAGCACAAACTGAAGAAAAGTGGCTCCTGGAAGGCATGGGAAGAACTAGCTATTAGAAATGTGCATGAAACTGACAACACAGGCATGGTGAGGCACGGATGACTATACCATCCAGGAAAGCAGCTCTGCACAGACTGATAGTTACTTTGGACCAAGGCTGTCTGGAATGGATAGATGATGGAAACAGAAGATTTGGTGCAAGAGCTAATCAATGAAGATTAATGCCCAGATGACATCATTATATAAAGAAATAGATCCGTAGTGGTATGTAAAAAGAGTGGATGTGATTTCACTGCAAAAGGAGAATGGTAGATGTTTAAGAAAATACTGCAAACAACAACACAACATCCAGCTTGAGAACAGAGGTGGAAGCAGTGATGACAGCTTTCCAATGGCTACAGAGCAGTACAGCCTAACAGGTAAGTATAAGTGACTCACAGAGCATGCTTCAGAAAACTGGTCTCTTGTGCCTAGAGTGGCTTGCATCACTCGATAAGACTCAAATCAAAAGCACATCATGGATTTGTGTGCTGACATTCAGGTGAACATGGTAATGAGCTGGCTGATAGATTACCTGCTGCTGTCCCTCTGGGTAATTAGCTACTTTATAATAAAGTAGATTGATGTGAGCTCTCTAGGATCAAGTGAACAGTGCAATAGAACAGACAGAGCATCTATTTCTGAACAGAATTGTTCAACCTGAAGTGAGCAGAGAGTAAACATTTTTCTAGCCACAGGGAAACAAAACTGGTAAAGATTTAATTGCATAATCAGTTTGGGAACTCTTTGCTACTGAGGAAGGGGATAGAGTACGTATAGGCATATCTCGAGAGCAGTGATATAATTCTATATTCATTCACTCAAAGCAGATTTAAAAAAAACATGCTGAGGGAATATTAATATTATCCAAGGTCTTTTGGATCTTCTACTACCATATTACTTAGCTGAATGAGGCATTAGCCACAGTATCATGGGTTATGCATGTCAATGTGCCAATATAATTTAGTAGAATGTAAGCAGAATTGTTCAACTTTATAAAAATGAAAGGACCTAGCAATCCACGATAAGGAACTTACAAGAAGCCAGCAGTTGTAGAGCGAGAATGCTTGCTTCTCAGCAGTTTCAGCTGATTGAGTTTGTCTCCCTGAGTTTCTACCCCTGAGCTTCGAGTAACTGGACCAGAGTACTGTGATTAAATAAATACATTTCAAAAAGTTAGTGAGTGTACTCTCTCTCTCTCATTCACCCAACTCACTCGCTTTCTCTCTCGCACGCACACACACACACAGAGGGGAGTGAGGGATGGAGGGGGTGGGGTGGGGGGGGGGGCGGACGAGAGAGAGATGTTTGATATCCTAATAATGAGGGCCTTTGAAGATGACCTTTAGTTTCCCCATGACTGGTACAGCATCTGGACTCATCACTTTCTGTGCTACTATCCTGTCTAACAGATTTCCAAGATTCCGTAACTGCTAAGCAATCTGGGGGAGGTTGCTTCCGGCTTGAAGTTCTTAGGATCCAATTTGCACTGAATCAGACTTTTTGTTTTAAAAAAAAGACCTTGGCTTCCGGGTCAACAAATGTTTAATGGGTACCAGGTCAAGTCCTGTCAAGTCAAGGAGGCTGGCATGAAGCTGACCACATAACCCACCTAGTGTCAACCCATCCATAAATATTATGGTTTAGCAGTGATGTGCAAAGCAAGAAGAAAACATGGCTAAGTTAAGATGTGGACAGTGACCATGTAATGGAACGATAACGGAAAAAGACTAGCCTGTGTATAAGAAATAGGACGAACAAAAAACAAAACAAAAATAAGGGCACACAGTCAAGATTAGCGTATCCAAGGCATTTCAAATGCCAGGGAAAGTGTGCTCACACATGCATTCACAATGGCGCGTGTACACACAAAGAAGAAGTTAAAGAGAGGGACACGCTCAGACAGTCAGAAGGTGGTAAGACAATAAAGCATACAGAGGAAACTGTGACTTGAAATATTTGGTAGTGTTCCTGCCTTTAAATCTGAGTCAAAGAAGCCGGGAAGTTTAACCCTGAAGACTTAGAGGCTTGGGGCCGCATTAGCGCAATCGAAAGGAGACTCACTGCAGCCCACGGCTGGTGCTTGAAAATGGGCGGTTCCTGAGGTTCACCCAGCCTCTATGTAATGGGTACCAGAATTAACATTCTGAGGTGAATGGAGAAACGTCACTGTAGCTACGGAGTTGCGTGCTGACAGCGACACAGGCGGACAGTTTCTTATCAGCTTTCCGTACTGGTGGCAGAGCACTTATGGTTTTTAACCGTATGCAATGACGCTGGTTCACATCTGAATTTACCTTTTAGACTTACAGGCTTCACAAGATCAGGGCAGGAAGAGATCTATAGAACAGGCCCTTCTGTTTGCTTCGTTTATAGTACTTTTCAATGTCTTTGATATTTCTGTGGTTCATCTTCTGTGTGGTCAACCATTGGCTCTGTTACCATTGTATTTCTAAAACACTGCTCTCTGCAGTGGCCCTGTCTGTTGCCAATCTTGTGACATGGCCAAATAATCTTATCTGTTTTCTACTTATAAAGTTCAGTACTGATTCTGTGTCAATTCTCCTCCTGATGTCATTTTTTTCTAAGTCGATATTTCCTTGTTACATCTAGTATAATACATAAACATGTCATTTCTGTTGTGACAGACAGATATGCAAAGTCGTTGATGTTTTTCAATTTTGATGTTGGTGGTTCTTCCTTTTCTGGAGAATGTCAACACTTCTGTTTTGTCTATGCTGATCTTCATATCAGGTGTCACATGCTGAATGGAATCTGTTAGTATGTTCTTGCAGATGTGCTTCTGTTAGTGCTATTCTTTAAGCAATTTTCTAAAACTGTTTCGTTCCCTGGTGTTAGCTGATTTGCAAATTTGGTTGACATATGTGATGAACAGTAGTGGTGATAACACACATCCTTGTCTTACTCCAGATTAATGTGGAACTTCTTTGACATTCCTGTTTATTGTGACTGTGCCCAGGTCTTGACCAAAAAAAGGGGTGTTCTTATAACATTTATCTCGTCATGCATCGATTCACAACAAAGTTGTAAAGAATCAACCAGTCTAACTGCCTGTTCATTTCCCAATACACCTGTAAACCTAGAGAAAATTGATAAAAGATGATGACTACTATTATTAGCTCTGTTGTCTTGTCCATTGAGTTTGCCAGTCACAGTTTGTGCTGTATTTAGTACTCCGCTTTGTCGAAACACTTGGTTGTGCATGTGTGTGACTTTTCCATTCCCACAGTTGAGCTTTCTAGTCATTAATCTGAATGGCTAAGATAAATGAAAATCAACTCAAAAAACAAATGGTCACTATAAAAAAATAATCTCTGCTAATCAAGAAATTTCATCATTTGCAGATGTAAACCAAGAAACTACAAGGGGAAGTCAATAAGTAAGTCACAAATGGTTACGGGTTGGCAGGAAAATGTAGCTGGTGGTTTATAAAGGTGCCATTAGGTGACAGCAACATCTAACTTTATTTCTCCTTTCGTTAGGGAATGATAGGTGTTGCATGTGCATGCACAACACAGAAACAAAATGGCAACTGTACTTACGGAGAGTACCCTCGAAGAACAACATGCTGTTGTACGTATTTGGGGCAAAAGGACAGCCTTCAAAGGACATTCATTAGGAAATGCTTCCTGTTTATGCTGATAAATGTTTATCCCGCAAAGCGGAGCACAGCTGGGTAAAGAATTTTTCTCAAGGACGCTCTATGATTGTTGACAAAGTCTGATCTGGTCCTTCTGTTGAAACTGCAACAGACGCATCAGTGCAGCGGGTGAAGGAAATCATTAGAGGTTACAGGCAAGTAGCAGTTGCAATAGAGTTCTCACATGGTTTTTGGTCCACTGAAAACCCACCTTGGCAGGAGACATTTCACTAATGACGCAGAAGGTGAATGTGAAGTGACAATGTGGTTTAAAAAAACAGAGCATGCAGTTCTATGCAGCAGAGTTTTGGAGGACTGATAAAACGATAAGACATTTGCATCCATTTTGGTGGAAATAACGTTGGAAAAAAAAGGGACAATGAATGTGTAGAAATAAACGGTTTTCAAGTTGTTATTGTTGTTAGTTTTTTTTAAACAACCAATTGTCACTTATTTATTGACTTCTAGTAGTAATTAAAGAACATGCTATATATAAGTACTTAAAAACTGCCAATAAAACAAAACACTGCAATCTGTAAACTCACATTTTCATATGAAATATTGCTGTACCGTATTTCACTGTCCAAAGAATCATCAATCCGCATATCATCCACACCAGATAACAGTTTTGATACAGAGCTCTGCCTTTCTCTTTTAGGCTTTCCATGCTGCTCTCTATATCTATCACCCATGTTCCACAACCAAGCTTGCTTGCTGCAATAACAATCCAATTATTTATATTAAATCCTTAACTACATAAATCCTTAACTACATGAAACACTATTTTATGAGTTAACATGATTTTGAAGATGTTTTGCATTTTTAACCAGTGGCTATAAGAGTTAATTCTTTGAGGACTAATCGCCAGTTAACTGGCTTCTGAATTTACCATGATCGAACTATTGACCAGTATACTGGCAACTCTAATTTTGTTCCGTTTGCAGGGAAAAATGAATTTTTATGAACATGTTCCGAAAAACTAGGATTAGCAAAAGGATGTCCTTCCGTTTGTGATGTTCCGCTTGGCTTTTGCGCCACTATATGATTTTGAAAAAAAATTATGTAGATGGAAAACAATTTTTACATGATTTTTCCATACAATATGATAAGGGAAAAGGTCTAGAACTGTTCATACTACTCTGTCGTTGATGAATCTCTGCCAGATGGTGACAACGGTCTTGATATTATGATTACTATCTAACGATTGATATCTAAGTGACAAACTTATTGGTGATAATTTAGTTTAGGATATTAAAATTAAACAAACAAATCAGAAAATACAATTAGTAACCATGAAATCAGATGTATGAGAAGGGCGGAATGAGTGACCCGAAAAGAAAAATCAGAAATGAGGTCAAAAAAAACAACTCGGCATAGAACCATTTCTAAATTACATACAGATACAGCAAATAAAATTTTCTCCCCACTTAGGCTTTGTGACATAACATACCAGGTATTTTTTTTTACTCAGGAGAATATCAGAGAACTTATGGTCATGACAGATGTGCGATGATGATGATCTTTAGAGAATAATGAATAGTAAAAAGAGAAGGACTGAGAGCATGAGGTAGACTAAGAACAAAATGGAAAGAACATCAGAAAAACTTGATAAAGCAAAATGTGTCAATGTTTAAAGTGGCCAGAAGAGCAAGTAGCATAATCTTATATCTCCTTTGACACCTGAAGCAGTAAAAGGCAAGAAGAAAAATTATATTGATTTCTAGCATATCATAATAATGAGAGACAGGGTGTCATATTATGCAACCAACCTAAACTGTAAAGATGGCACTTGATAGGTTAAGATTATAAGACAACAGAACTGCTTTAAAGATTACATAAGATACAGCTATAAGGGAGAACATGTTAAAGCATCAGTACATTATGAGATTATATTTGTATAAAGTTCAGCATCTAACAGCATTGACACACATTTCTGAGAAAATACATAAGATACATACTCTTCAAGAAAATTTTGCTGAGGTCCAATCACAGAACCAGGTCGACAGATTCGACACCAGGCAATGGCCTCCCCTGCAGTGAATTTGTAATGCTTCATGAGGTAACATGCAATTAGTGTCCCTGTCCTACCCAAGCCAGCTGGAAAAAAAAATCAAAATAAAACACAAGGTTACTGTTTCTAATTTTCTTCAGCATTTAACATTTTGAAGAAAAAAACTTTCCTAAATATTCAAACATAAGGAATCTGAGTACAACCATACACACTCAATACATTTAAAATTCAAGGGCCAAATTATGTCATCCTCACCATCAATTTCCACTTTTTTGTTAAGTGCTTTGGGGAGGAACAGTCTGCTTGACTTGCTCAGAAGCAATTGCTATTTTTATTCTGTATCAATTTAGAATCTCACTAATGTCATCAATCCATGTTCTCCTAGGGCGACCTCTTGATTTCACAACAGATCTTTTCATGTGTAGCGTCTGCACTGGTAGCTGCTCTGGTTGTAATCTAACAATGCTCAAACAATTTTACCTTCCGTTTCTCAATGAATATTTTTGCATGTTTTTCTTTGTCTGTCTGATGATAGAATTTTTAACTTTGTCTCAGATGGTTAAGTTGGAGTTGGCGGCTTTTCTCGGGCAGTTCATTTCACAGGTGGTAATTTTATGTAGGTTAGCCTGTGACAATGTTCATGCCTGGCATTTGTAGCGCAGTTAAGGTAAAGATATGCTGTTTGTTATCTGTTTAATGGCACTCACAGTTATGTTTGGATGTCTCACTAACGATGAGACGCACTTAACTGGTGACGTTCTAGGTAATACAGACTTCAGGACTGGGTGGGGATGCCTAAAGAGTCAAATTTTGGTCTTTCACACTAAAATAGCAGTGCCTGGGGTAAGGATCTCATCAAGCTAGACTCTAGCAAAGGAAAATCTGAGGACGGAATAGACTGGCTGATGTGTCAACTCAATAAAACAAGCTGCAACCAAAAAAAAAAAAGGTTAAGCAATAAACCTGTTGAAAATGAATCATTAGTCAGGAAAGTCTTAGTCCAAACAACTTACTATAGATTCAGTGTATATACAATTAGTGTGGTAATACCCTTCTACATTAAAATGAGTCATTTTCTCAAGGTTAATGAATGTTCTCAAAATTTGTAAATGAGGTTAAGGACTAAACATGCTAATTACCTTTGCAGTGAACAGCTACTGCACCTTCTGTATTTTCTGAGACTTCAAGGAAGTTTTTCACTATAGTTTCACTTGGCACACTACCATCAATAAAGAAGAGATCATGATGATCAAAGCCGCCATCAGTGAATCTTCTTGCATCGTAAACTTTCTTGTTCAGCCGGACAATCAATGTGACATTGTGCTTTCGAAAATATGGGAAGTACGCCTCTGGGGCATGAAGTGGATAACCTGGTTGGTGAAATGTTACATGGCATCACGTTGTATTCATTACATCACAATATATGTCAGGATATGTTTTAGATCATCCACATTTATTATAATCTCCTGATATAAATCATCATTAATTATTTGATAAAATATCACTAACTGAATGTCTATGTTTCATATCATTATGATTAGTTTGCTACAAATCTCTGCAAAAATGCTTCCCCCTTATCCTTGCTGTCATGGGCGAACTGATATCTGTATATATAATGCCTACTGCGATAGGCCGATTCTGTCTTTTTATCTGCCAGTAAAGTTTCCAGAACCTACCCAGCTCCAATTTAATTCATAAAATTTTCGCATCTAGTCTGGTTTTTTTTTTTTTTTGCATTTGCTGCAAACTGCTTGGGAACTCTTCTATTTTTTTCTTTTTTCAAATCCTTTTTTGCTTTCTCTATCTTCTTTTGTAACCTCTGAGGTGACTTTCACACTTTCTGTAATTGTTTAGCTGCTGCTGTCTTTTCTTTCTATGCCTGTTTGACTTCATGAATCTGCCATGGAGGCTCTACAAACGCAGAATGGGTGGCTCTGTTACATACCTTCCTCCAAAAGCGTGCAAGAAGAGTATTGCCTTCTCATACTTAGAGGTCTTTCATGTTCTCACAGCCCTGATATGCTAGTTTTAGAAATCACGACTAAGCATGGCATACTGTCTTTCCGTGATCACCCAGGAAACTCCATTTTGTGTCCAGCACTGCTGACTGGGTAAACAAAAATTAAAAAAATAAACAGCTCTGTCTGCATCACCAGGTCTCACTGTGATTCTAGTTAGCCTACCATCGTTCACAAAGACTATTTCTGCATCACACATGGTCTGTGCTAGGGCATTTCCTTGTCTCTTTTCCCCAGTACTGTCCCATGCTCTGTTCTGCATTAAAAGCACTAAAATCCCTACACATGAGAAGCCTATTGCCAGGGACTTCCTCTAACTTTTTGAGCCAGTCCTATTGGTCTGTTGTGACAAGAGAGTCAGCAGCAACACAAACATTTACTAAATTCCAAGTTGTGCCCTCATTATCTATCTGTATGCCCTGAACCTCTGTTGTACCATGATTGCACTCATCCAGGTCAAGGATCACATGCTTCATTCACCCCATTCTTCACCAGAAGACATTGCCCTTCCTCATCCAGTAGAATTTATATAACTGGTGTATATCCAGGAAACTCATATCTATCTGTATTTAAGCATGATGATATCAAAATTATAATTCTCTGCCTTGCACTGTAACAATTCCAGTGAGCCACTCTAAAATGAGGGGAAGTCAATTAGCAGGTCACAAATGGTTATGGGGTAGCAGGAAAATGTAGTTGGTGGTTTATAAAGGTGTCATTAGGTGACAGCAACATCAAAGTGTATGTCTCTGTTTGTTAGGTGGAACTAAGTGTTACATGTGCATTCACCACACAGAAACAAAATGGCGACTGCACTTAGCAGAGTGTAACCTCAAAGAATGATGTGCTGTGTGTTTTTTCTGGGAGGGTGAGGGGGGAGGGTGGGGGGGGGGGGGGGGCAGAAGAGCTGCCTGCAAAGGACATTCAAAAGGAAATGCTTCCCGTGTTGGTTCTGGGGCCCTATTATAGGAGGAAAAGCAAGAATAGACCCACTGCCTACCCAAAAGCATGTCGTAGAGTCGACTAACTGGAAAGCTCCCTTCAAAGTCGGAGTGCATCTTCCTGAGAGGCAAGGAACCAGCAGTCTGCACACACATGAGTCAGATTTGTAAAACAGATGCACATGCAACACTCTGGTTCTGAAACAGGACTGCAGTCCTAAAGTGGAAGGACGAACTTTCTGCCAGAGTTTACAGCTGGTGAAAGCGAAGAAGAATAAGTAAATGCTTTCTGTTTATGCTGAAAAATGTTTATAACGTAAAGCGGTGCATAGCTGGGTAAAAAATTGTTCGCGAGAGCGGGCTAAAATTGTTGATGAAGTCCAATCTGGTCGTCCTGTGGAGACTGCAACAGACACATCCGCGCAGCGGGTGGAGGAGATGATTCTGGAACACCCACCTCACAGTCCCGACTTAGCGACAACCATATGTGACTTATTTATAGACTTCTCTCATATGTTTTAATCACAGAGGCTTGATTTTCATCGGAGTCTCCAAGCTTCCGCTGTACTATTTCTATGCCTTCTTTTTTCTCTATTCCCTTGTCTTCTCCTCTTCCCCCTCTCTTGGTTGCATGCTGAATAACAGCACCGAGCACAGACTCTGTAGCTCCAGTGATAAATCTTTTTAGTTTCAAGTACAAAATCCACTTGTAAAAAATCTCAATGCAGGAAGTAACCGGTCAGCCTAGTTTGCCTGCGATGCTAGGAAAGAGGATCGTGATGTCGCAAAGAAGTCCATATTCCTGGCGCCGCCCCACTCACCAACCAGACATTCCATGCTTGCAATTGCACAACCCACAGCCATTCAGGCCATTGGCACGCAGGTCCACCTTGGCCTTGTTTTAAAAAAATCAAGGTTGTCTCCTCTAGATCCGTTGTGTTTTGTGCCTCTTCAGTCATGCGCCCCGGTCTTGACTGTAGAATGGTATTTTTGATCAAAGTGTATCATTTTCACCCAATCAGTGCGAGTACTTATATGGCTAGATCCAGCTCTCAAGTGGAAACAGATGATGAATTTTATTGCTGCTTCTCACACTCTATACACCGCTGTTTTAATCTCTGATAGGTACCAAGATCTGATGAAAGATTTCATTTTTTTATTTGTAAAAATGCATCATCAAAATGTTTGTTTGTGTTCCAGGATTCAAAGCATTGATAAGGTAAGAAAACTGGTCTTATCAGCATTTTATATAATGTGATCTTGGTCTTACCAAATAGAGCCTTTGATTTTAGCAGATGTTGTACGGCATAGTATATTATTTTTTCCAGACTGTATTCTAGATTTAATTCTTCTCTTAGTATGGCAGTCAGCTTAAATATCAAAAAGAAAAAAAAAAAAAAGAAGAAAATACTGCCCAAATATTTCTTTTACAATATATTCAAACTGAATGTGTTTAATTATAAACAGGTCCACACAGCTAGTGCTGTCGCTATGGACTGCAGATGTTGCAAAGTTTAATTTTGCCCCCAAGAGAAAAACTTCATCATCTTACTGGGGATTGAGAACCTAACATTGTGACTGTTCGACAAGCCTCTCCTCCAGCTCTAAGGTAGATAAACAAAAGGGATATAAAGTGGACAATACAGGACAGTATGGTGATCCATTTCTCAACATTTTTAAATATCTTTCAACCCTTAGATCACCATCTTTAAAACCAAGTAATTATACTGCCAGATTAGCCATTGGTGAACAAAACAGTAATTACTTATAATATAAGTTAACAATAATAACATAACAAATTACCATTCTCTATTTTAGACTTTGGATGAGGTCCACAAAATGCCAAGAATTTATTGGGTAATATCCAGTTGAAATCACCATTTTCCACTTTCTGCAAAATTAAAAAAAAAAGCACATCGATATTACTGTCATCATTATAACAGAAAATGTGTGTATGTGCCCTCATTAGGTTTATATAAAACCAGAACACTATCTTAATAAAAAAAATAAAATGTTTAATAAAATGTGTAGCAGAGTGTGGAAAATATTATTCAATTAATTAGTTTAAAGAACAATGAAAACAATAATCAGAAAAAGATGTAAAATAAAATCACAAATTGGATGAGTCGTGTGGATGTAATGAAAGTAAAGTCATAAAAAAGGTCATTTACATCCTGAGAGCTTTAATGGAAGAAAAAACTGTTGAAATAAACAGAGATTTCTATCAATGCTCAATTGAATACACTTAACTCTTTAAGGCCCGAGCAACGGTGTGAGCGTTTATTGAGAAGTTCCGTTTTGCCAAACAACGCTGTCATTGTTGATCGGGTGTCCTGTACATTTTACTTCGCACACGGCTCTGTACTTGTTTCCAATAATCGGAAGTACGATGAAACTATTCAGGGAAAGTCACTCTGCCAAAATCCTTTCAGCTACATTCACTTTCAGAGGCCATACGTACATAATTTGATCGGATTTACAGCGAAATTTTTTTCAGCAGTGCATTCTTTAAGTTCGTTTTCGAGTGCCATGAATAACAATGTTTGAACCACTAGTACAGGTCGCAGAATGCCTCTTTCTGCGGCCGAAGCTCTGAAACTGTTTCAGTCAGATGTTTTTAATTCTGATAATGATAATGAAAATTTAGATTTTTCAGTAAGTGATTCGGATTCGGATACAGACAATGTTCCATTGCTAACGTATTAATGGTGTAAGAGAAAGAAAGTGCTCTAAACAAAGAGACTGTACTACACTATGGCTAAGCTACAGTAACATCATCGTAGCTACAGTCTGAATATAACTATACAAATTAAATAGTTAATAGGATGTGTGTGTAATGGCTCATTTTTCTGTCATTTTTTTTCTCTGAAATTTTGCTCAGCACTCTGTAAGAACTAAGAGCCTGAGTGCTAAACTAACCCAGAAACTTATAACTTTGGAATTTGTTTAAAATTGAACAAACTATGAAGTTTTGTTCTCAAATTTGGATATTCACTATTCTTGTGGCTGCAAAATCATGGTAAGTGAAGAATTTGTTTGTAAAATGCTGTTGTGAAATTAACACCTGCTGAATTCTTTTTTCCTACTATAAACAAATTAAACATACACTTATCAACAGATTCAAAATTTACATTCATTTCTCTTTAAAAAAAACACTTTATTGGGATTAGAAGTATATTACATCCTCTATTGCCTTTCTTGTACACCCACCCCTCTGCCATTTTTGTAAAGGGAAATTAATGTGGGCCAAGTCTGTCAAAATTCATGGGCCTGAAAGAGCTAAGAATATATCAGTAATAAGAATCTGAGGTAACGATATATATATATTTCTGCAAAACCCATGGTCTGTGCTAGAGCATATCCTTGTCTCTTTTCCCCAGTACTATCCCATGCTCTGTTCTACATTAAAAGCACTAAAATCCCTACTCATGAGAAGCCTATTGCCAGGGACTTCCTCTAACTTTTTGAGCCAGTCCTATTGGTCTGTTGTGACAAGAGAGTCAGCAGCAACACAAACATTTACTAGATTCCAAGTTGTGCCCTCATTATCTATCTGTATGCCCTGAACCTCTGTTGTACCATGATTGCACTCATCCAGGTCAAGGATCACATGCTTCAACCCATTCTTCACCAGAAGACATTGCCCTTCCTCATCCAGTAGAATTTATATAACTGGTGTATATCCAGGAAACTCATATCTATCTGTATTTAAGCATGATGACATCAAAATTATAAATCAGCCTCTCCAGTACAGGACCTCTCTGCTCTGTTATATGTGTGCGTGTGTGTGTGCATGTGTGTGTGTATATACATATGTATGTGTGGATATGTGTGTGTATACATATATGTATGTATGTATGTATGTATGTATGTATGTATGTATGTATGTATGTGTGTGTGTATGTATGTATGTATGTATGTATTCATGCATGTATGTATGTATGTATGTATGTATGTATGTATGTATGTATGTATGTATGTATGTATGTATGTATGTATGTATGTATGTATGTATGTATGTATGTATGTATGTATGTATGTATGTATGTATTATGTATGTATGTATTTATACACACACACATCAGTAATAAAAAAGCAGTCACGTGAGTGGACAACCAAATAGGGAATTTTAGAACACATAAACAATATGTTATGGTTGTGTCATGTCACTGGATCTATTCCACATTTACAGTTAAATAATAAGATCTCCCAAAACTCACTTTTATAAGGCTCAAGTGGCTATCAGACATTTAGAAGATGAAGGTTGGCAGAGTCACCAAGAAAATCCTCCATGTGAATTACAGATGGGTAGAAGTTGTTGAGCTCAGCTTCTAATACAAAATTAAGATGTGTTCATGGGAACAGGATGCCAGGGACCTAGTGGTACTACGAAAGAGAGGTGGGGGAAGGAGGGGCGGGAGGATTAGGAAAGGAATTAGGATAAAGAAGAAAATGAAAATGACTGCAGTAAGGTTAAGAGCTGAGTGTCTGAGAAGAAGCACATTAATAAATACAATGGTCGTAAAACCTCCTGCTCTAACTGTGAAAGATTTTTCCCAACACAAATGGGTCCTATGAGTTACACTTGCCATCATAATAGTACAATATAATACTATCATCAGGAATGATGAAAAGATGCCAACAAGAAGAGCCAGTGCTGATGAACAAAAGTGACTAATGGACATTAACAGACTTGCACAGAAACTGCCAAAAATGTGGTTGTATAAAAGAATGATAACAACAAAGGCAGATAAAGAGATATAAGTTGCTTTGGAAACAAATATTGTAAACAGAAAGAACCGTTACTTGCATCAAATAACTATTCACAACCTTTGGGGACATTATAGGAATGGGAAAACTGGGGTTTGCACTGACCCAAAAAAAAAAAAAAAAAATCAGAGAAAAACATAAACATATGTACATAATTAGCTATCTCATCCAGTGTGTTGATTATCTAGGAAGATTAGCATGGAGTTTACAAGACCATAACATCCATATGGGAATAAAATAAGAGGTGGCTGAGCTCCTGTGTTCCACTGGTACACATATGCTTATTATCCCAGTCATTATTCAGTTTAATTTACTGTCGATAATAAAGGGCAAATCTATCAAGAACTATATTTTGACCAACTAAAACTAATAAGTGCAAAATCATAATAACAGAGATGAGATTTCTTAGAAGAGCTGCCGGAGTAATACAATTTTAAAAAATGAATAAATTATAAGACTAGGCCTGAAACCAGTCACACCATTTATTTAAAAGCCAAACAGAACCATGCTGAAGAAATACAATGAATACATAGAAAGCAAGGGAAAGATTGTGCAGAAGATAAAATGATGGCACCAAGAAAAGCCTCAACCCACTGACTATATCGTCGCACGTTATGGGACAAGGCGATGTTTATTTCTTGCTGCCAAGGTCGTACCCCTTGTGGCTGTAGCTTTGGCCGCTTGCCGCCATGTTAAAATCTTGATTTTTTCTATCAATTTCTTTGAAGCCTTTAGCGAATTAATTTCTCTAAATTAATTTAGGAGAAAAAACTTTGTAGCCCTTATTGTAAATATCTGAGGATTTTCACTGTTAGGTCCCATGTCGGTGACACACTGACAAAATTTTTGTCATGGCTTCGAATTCTCGAAGGGATCGTAGTGGTCTTATTTATCATTTTTCTGTTGCTTTTTTTCTTGATTTTATTTTTCTTCAAAAAGTAGAGGTGAAGAAATTACTAACAGTTTAATGAGTCTGGATTTGATAAATTTGATGTGCCATGAAAAACATCATCAACAGTGAAAAAATTGCATGCTGCTGTAAAATCAAGTCTAACTAAGACAACCGGCAGTTTCACATTCGGTAGCACTAGCTAGTGCAGCAGTTTCCAATACTGATAGTTCTGGAGACAGATTTCATTCAGAGCCTGTAGATTTTTAAGAGACTGGCTGAGCCTGCACATTGTGACATTATCATTCTTGCTTTTGATGTAGAATCTTCATCATCATCTGGCGAGAGGAAAATTTGACACACATTCCACTAGCAGAAGACTTGCATTGTGATTTAAGAGGCTTTCTTAAAGCCCATTTTCTGAAGAAGGTGCAAGTGTATTTGATTTTTTGATTTGATTTGTTTGCAAGTGTATGTTGAAAAAGAACAGTAATAATTCAGAAATAAAAAGGGCCCCAAAGTAACCATAGCAAGTTACTGGTGTAGGAAATGTTGGTGCCACTTTGTACCCAAGGATGCAATGAACTGCACCATACTGTAAAATTTGATAAATGGGAGTTGTGTGTGTGTGTGTGTGTTGCCTTGATATTGAATTACACACCATTTTGTATATTAATAAAACAATACAATTTCATACTTTATATGTCATGAAATTTAGTCTTATTTTTTACAAATAAAAGATTTTTCCGTTGCTTGCGCTATATCTACAGCCAGATGATAATGTCAAACAAAACAAACTCATGTTTGTCTTGCAATTTGTTCTCCATTTAATCTGGTATAAAAATACAACACACGAAAAGTGTTTTTTTTTTTTTTTAATGGTTGTGAAGTTATGCCATTTTTTAAAATTCTTTTGTTGTCAAATAATACACAATTTTCTAGCTGCCTTTTTTTTGCACCAATCTACAGGGACATGAAGATGTGAAAGAAAATAAACCCATTTTTGTTTCTTGCAATTTATTCTCTATTTAATTTTATATTATAAAGGTTAAATGTAAAATATTATACAGGTAATAAGATGTAGAATGGTTATAAAGTAATTGCATTTTTCTTGTATGTCAGCATTTCTGCTGGATTTAAGACGTTGAATTGTAGTTTTCAAGGTCAAGATGATGATCCTAAGGCTGTGGATTTATGCGAATTCAATCTTCTTAGAAAGCTAGGGTGAAAATGGCAGGATTATTTGGTTTATGTTGAGCTCTAGCGTGTTCCCTTTTCACTTATGTTTGCACACCTCATTGGAAAGGGGCAAATGATAATACACTTATGGTACAGTCTGCTCATGGTCTTGTCAAGTTAAAAAACATTATTATTCCTTCAAGTTGATTGTTAGCTGTTACCCATTTGTTCCTAGTGGCATATTTGGTGTTTTAATTTGTTCCTGCCTGACCTTTTCCCACAGTTCATGATGCAACTGTTGTAACCCTAGACTTGGCTTAGGATGCTGCTAGTTCCATAAGGTGTTGACTCGCTGGAATTCATACTGATCGCCACAAAATGTATGTCAGTAGGCTACAGCCCAATAAAAGTCAGCTGTTATATCAGTCGAATGCAGCTTGGCTGATTTTGTGGTCCCGGTAGGACCCTATTCGCACGATGGGTCACACTAGCGAAAGTAAAGCAGTCATATGATGTTAGCGGATGTTGCTATCTGTGATAAAATTTTATTAGCTCGTAGTTCTGAGATGTTTGTGTCCTTTGGAAGAGAAAACCTAAGTCAGTAGAGGAGATGACTGTATTGGGGGAACAATATGTCACAGTATATTCTGATAGCTGCAGTTACAGCTCAGGAAAATCAAATTAATTAAAATCGTAATAACCAGATAACTATTACCGTTTGGACAGCCAACAAAAAACCAAGGAAGGAGCCATAGCCACTAGAAGAGCGAAAAGCTGAACCACAGATATAAAAAAAAGAAAACAAATTTGCGCGCATGCAACGATTTCACCCCACTTTGGTAAAATGTTTTGAACAAGCAAATACTAATTCTATTCAACTAGTTCATGGCTTGTGTAAAAGCTGTAATGCATGTGTACAGTATTTCTAATAGCACACTCTAGTCGCTGACTGAAGTTGTTACATTGTGACCAGATGATTACACCATATGATTCTTCGACAGTTAATGAACTTATTTACCTATGTCAAAGTTGGTCTAGGCACTTCTGATGGTCATCACTCTTTGTCGCCTAGGTGTTGTCTATTAATTGGAACCTTCCTGTTTCAGGCAACACTTGGTGTGCGTATTATTCCACGATTTGATTTCACACCATTGCATGATATGATTTTTTTTTAAATGTTTTGGTTGTTGAGATCGCATTACAGACATCTAGTTTTCCTAAAAGTCACTAACGTTTTGCACAGATACTGCCACCATGAATGTAGGTAATTGTGTTCTGTACTGTGATTTATGAATTTCATGTCCATCTCCTTAAGATGTCAGAAAGAGTTAAAAGAGCCGACGAAGGTAGTCTAGACAAGAGAGTGCAATGACCCACTTTAGAGATTACATATGACATTTAATTTGGCTTTAGATTTTGCTAGTTCAATTTCCATAAGGTGTCCATAATTGTGTTTGCCTGATTGGTTGCTCCAATTTTATGTATCCATATATGCCTGGCTCTCTAGCGAAGTTGGTTAAACCTGACTTTCGCGGCGGCCGGGTGACGAACTCCTTGTGGTCCGGGTTCACTCCCGGGGGTAGGCAGAAAAGCCACATTTCTCCCAGATTAACGGTACCTATAATGGAATTAATGCCGAAGGGTTGCGATATCCATAGTACTGAGCCAAAGGGTTTACAACTCTTGGTTTCTGGATACGTTAAAAAAAAAAAAAAAAAAAAAAAAACACAGGATCCATATATGCGTGTGATGACTTTGATGCAAATAAAACATTACTCATTGCTTCCAGTGCTATAAAATTAGTAAATTGTCACCTATTAAATGCTGTTACAGTATGGGTGAGAAAGCGGTGCTGGTGATTTTTTTGGGTCAGTAGGAACATTTTCAAGGTATCTGGTTGAAAGAAACTTTTATATTTTAACAGATCACAGTCCCTTTGAGGTACAGAAATGGGATCCATCAAGAAAACCTGCATTCTGAGATGGATGATGCATCAACAGGCATTAGAGTTATGTGTCGTACGGGAAAATAAAATGTCCTAGCCGACATTTTATCATGCATGCCAATGTCATTACAGCAGAGTAAACATTTCTAGCTGTTATATATAAATGATGATTTTGACCATGTAATAATATTGAGTATTTGGTATTATCGCTTCTCATATTCATAGGTTATTATTAATGCATGCCATGTTACTAAGTTATCTACTGTTATCTTACTAAGAATAACATTAGTGGTTCGTTAAGGTGTAGTATTCATGCTTTTAGATTGGCTTTCATGTTTGTCCGCGACACGAGTCCAAATTTCTCCAAGTGAGACTTCAGCAAGTCACAAGTCTCAGTTAATCTGAGGAAAAAGGGGAGGGTAAGCTGTCACATGCAAATTACGCACTGAATTACCCCAATACTAAATGATGCAAATACATCAGAAGTTGTTGAATACTGTCAGTTGAAGATTGTCTCTGGTTTCCACAGTAAATAACAACCTTATCATGCTGGGACGTTTATCGTCATTTCTGCCGTAAGGAAGGAATTATTAATACAAGGTAAGAAATTGTGTTTCCGTGTTTCTGCTGGATTTCTCTCAAGTAAGTGCAATTTTCTTGCATGTCCGTATTTCTGCTGGCTATAAGATGTAAGAATCATTATTAGGTAATTGTATTTTTCTTGTATGTCAGCATTTCTGCTCGATATAAGACATTGTTGAATCCTACAGAGTTTTCAAGGTCAAGATGATGATCCTATAGCTGCATATTTGAATGGATGTGAATCAAGCTAGGGTGAGAATGGCAGAATTGATTTGGTTTATGTTGAATTTTGGCAAGTTCACTTTTCACTTTTCATGTTTAAACATATCGAAATGGGATATACGATAATACACTTATGGTACATATCCGCACGGTCTTGTTAAGTTAAAAACACATTATTCTTTCTTCAAGTTGATTGTTAGTTGTTGTCCAGTTGTTCCTCGTAGCATTCTGGGCATTTCAGATTGTTCCTGCTGGACTTTTTCCCACCGTTCATGGCGTAAAATCCTAGCTGTTGTAACCCTGGACTTGGTTTTAGATTTTGCTAGTTCAATTTCCATAAGGTGTCGACTAGCTGGTATCTAAAATCATTGCCATATGCATCACTGAAGACTTGCCGCACACACTGTCATGGAAAGCCACACACTTCAGTAATCGAGACCCATCTTAAATCAATACTGCCTACCTCATAATGTTCATATTCATCCACATCAAATGTCTCAAAATTGAAGAAGCCATTCACAAGAGCCTGTCATGAGAAAAAGTCATTATTAAGTTAGTTACCTGTAATTCAGAAGACCACCTCTATAATTCAAAAACATTTATGAAAGTCATCTTCGGCTGCAATTTATTTGAAGGATTAATCTGGATAAAAAATGAAAAGCTAAATTTCGATTTGCTCTTGTGTAGCACACTTGAAAAAGAAATTTCTAAAAATAAGCCTCAACAATTGACAAGAAATGATAGATATAATTATAACAGAAAGTTTTAGTTTTGAACAAAGAAAAAACACTATAATTACAAATGCCACCTAGGAAGCAACAGCATTGCTAATGAGAGACTGAAGTCAGTTAATGTGTTTAAGTATGAGCTTGGATAATAATATATGAAAGATTCTGCATCAATCACAGTTAGAAGAATAGTTTTAAACAAAATGCGGATGCTGCCAAAAATAATTTACAGAAAGAATGACCAGAATTGACACATGAAAAGCAATGAAGATGTCTTGACAGAAACTAACTCAAAGGGCAACAAACAACATTCTGTGTCATAACAAAGGGAAATAGAGTGTATCTTTACATTACAAAAGCTGGATAGAAAAGAAATCAGGAAAAACACGAAGAGACAACATTACAGACATTTGTAATTACAGCATCCATCTTAAAAACTACTGACAAAAACATGACAAACATGTGGAAAGGCGTGCTGATTAATGCCACACAGCACAGCAAAGAACATAAGAAAATGAAGATATACATTATTTTAGCTCTTTAAATAACATAAAATCTATGGAAATCAATAATATTAACCGTAACGCCCTTAATAATATCAAAACATTATCATGTTGAAAATTTCATTAAAAAAAACACATCCTTAAAATTCTCTGAAACTCTACCCTACAAAACTAGTTGAAGTGAAGAAACAGCAGAAATTTTGAATCTCTGGTTTTTTCTTAACAATAACCATCAAGGGGGTTCACATACTAGATAAACATGTTGATAGGCAAGTGCCAAGACGACTTCTTTTTCTTCTCTGCATTCGGTTTTGTATGCTCAGATCAGACCATCAGGTGGGTTGCCTCTATGAACTTGCATATTAGTAGCAGGTCCTTCATGGTTTCCCATAGCGTGCTCTGCACACTCTGCTCTTGAGGCCAGGTTTCTTTTCAAAGTTGTAGGTAGAGTGGGCAGGTCTGCAGAATGTGCTCAGGTGTTTGTGGTCCTGTTTGACTGCACAAAGTCTAATAACGTAAATAATTCACAATAACTTTCTTATTCACTGTTTCATGCATTTTTTACAGAAAGGGAATTATTCACTGAAAACAAATAGGAAAAGAATTAACTGCTGTCTTCCCCTATGACTATGAAAGGAGGGGTTTTGTTTACTAAGTCACATGCAGCAAAGTAATGCTATATGAGATTTTTTATTTTTTTAAATCTGTCATGCTATCCATTTTATCACTTTTGAGGATGGAACAGGCAGCCTTGAGCCCGAGGATTAAGGGCTGCCTGGCCAGTGCTGTTATCACAGACTATGCAGGTTAGGATGTTTAATTTTGTCCCCGATAGACAAACTCCATCAACTTACCGTGGATCGAACTCAGGTCTCCCACATAAGAGCCTGGCGTTGTAACCGCTCGGCCAGCTGCCTTTCATGAAATTATTATTAGGTAATAATGTCCTAATTTTAAAAAAATAACATTTTTTGAGAACGCTTTACTATCAATCATAGGGTTGTGCTATTGGAACTAAAGACCCAAAGGTCAGCTTTTGTTACAGGAACTACAGACACACAAGTGAGCTTTAATATCAATTATAGGGTTGTGCTACAAGAACAAGAGACTCATAAGTGAGCATTACGATCAAACCTAGGATTCTGCTACAGGAACTAGAGACTCTAAAGTGAGCATTACTATCAAACCTAGGATTGTGCTACAAGAACAAGAGACTCACAAGTGAGCATTACTATCAAACCTAGGATCGTGCTACAAGAACAAGAGACTTACAAGTGAGCGTTACTATCAAACCTAGGATCGTGCTACAAGAACAAGAGACTTACAAGTGAGCGTTACTATCAAACCTAGGATCGTGCTACAAGAACAAGAGACTTACAAGTGAGCGTTACTATCAAACCTAGGATCGTGCTACAAGAACAAGAGACTTACAAGTGAGCGTTACTATCAAACCTAGGATTGTGCTACAAGAACAAGAGACTTACAAGTGAGCGTTACTATCAAACCTAGGAACGTGCTACAAGAACAAGAGACTTCAAGTGAGCGTTACTATCAAACCTAGGATCGTGCTACAAGAACAAGAGACTTACAAGTGAGCGTTACTATCAAACCTAGGATCGTGCTACAAGAACAAGAGACTTACAAGTGAGCGTTACTATCAAACCTAGGATCGTGCTACAAGAACAAGAGACTTACAAGAGAGCGTTACTATCAAACCTAGGATCGTGCTACAAGAACAAGAGACTTACAAGTGAGCGTTACTATCAAACCTAGGATTGTGCTACAAGAACAAGAGACTTACAAGTGAGCGTTACTATCAAACCTAGGATCGTGCTACAAGAACAAGAGACTTACAAGTGAGCATTACTATCAAACCTAGGATCGTGCTACAAGAACAAGAGACTTACAAGTGAGCGTTACTATCAAACCTAGGATCGTGCTACAAGAACAAGAGACTTACAAGTGAGCGTTACTATCAAACCTAGGATCGTGCTACAAGAACAAGAGACTTACAAGTGAGCATTACTATCAAACCCAGGATCGTGCTACAAGAACAAGAGACTTACAAGAGAGCGTTACTATCAAACCTAGGATCGTGCTACAAGAACAAGAGACTTACAAGTGAGCGTTACTATCAAACCTAGGATCGTGCTACAAGAACAAGAGACTTACAAGAGAGCGTTACTATCAAACCTAGGATTGTGCTACAAGAACAAGAGACTTACAAGTGAGCGTTACTATCAAACCTAGGATCGTGCTTCAAGAACAAGAGACTTACAAGTGAGCGTTACTATCAAACCTAGGATCGTGCTACAAGAACAAGAGACTTACAAGTGAGCGTTACTATCAAACCTAGGATCGTGCTACAAGAACAAGAGACTTACAAGTGAGCGTTACTATCAAACCTAGGATTGTGCTACAAGAACAAGAGACTTACAAGTGAGCGTTACTATCAAACCTAGGATCGTGCTACAAGAACAAGAGACTTACAAGTGAGCGTTACTATCAAACCTAGGATCGTGCTACAAGAACAAGAGACTTACAAGTGAGCGTTACTATCAAACCTAGGAACTTGCTACAAAAACAACTATCAAACCTAGGATTGTGCTACAAGAACTACAGACTCACAAGTGAGCTTTATTATTGCTTAGTTAGTCAGTTAGTCAGTCAAGGTTTCAAAATTACCGCATTCGGGTTTCCCGAATTCGGGTTTGCTCTGTTGCTGTACCAGTGCAAATCAAAAAAATGTCCTTCACTGACCTTATGTGGAAACTGCTTTAGCAAACCCATTGTTGGAAGAAAAAAATAACTTTAAAGCTTAACATTCTGCGGGAGTCTCTGTGGCGGAGCGGCTAGAGACGCTCGCCGCGGATCAGAAGATGGTTGGTTCGCTCTTTGGAGAAGCCAGACTTTTTTTTTCAAAAATGACCTTTGCTTCCAGGTCGATCAAGCCTTGAGTGGGTACCGGGAAGTAGAGGCGGCCGGCGTGATGCTGACCACATCACCCATCTTGTGCAGATTGGTCTATACAAATGTAGGTCTAGCCCTATATGCCTAAAGGCGTGGAAAAGGGTTCTTTACTTACTTTTTAACATTCTGCCAAGCCTTTCGTCCATTTTAGCCAGGAGTCAGCTTTACTATCAAACCTAGGATTGTGCTACAAGAACTAGAGACTCACAAGTGAGCTTTACTATCAATCATAGAGTTGTGCTACAGGAACTAGAGATCCACAAATGAGCGTTACTATCAACCATAGGGCACAACTTCACCTTGTTAAGTCCATTTAAGCAGTCCAACAATGTGAGATTATAAGTGCATGGGCCAAAAGATGCATCTCTGCAAAGAAAACAAGAACATTACATAATTTCAATAATGCATTTGCTATATCTATTTTAATAAAAATGTTAATTTTCCGTGTTTGTTAACTATAGACTCGAAAACTACTGAACCGATTGCTTTCAAATTTTCACACAACATTGTGTTCCACTATACGCGTGTTTGTATGTAAGTGTTGCACAAACCACAAACAATGTAGCTATAGCTACGATCAAATCATGATTTGTTTTGTTGCCGGCCCGAATTTGTTTTTAGTTCCACTGAACTTTGACTGTGTGTGTAACACTAAACTTTCAATTATTATATAATTTCATTTTTACCTAATTCTCTAGTGTTTGGTAGTTTAAGTATTCTGACGCCGGATTCCCCCCTAGGTGCTAAAAAAAATTGTTGGGCTCTTAACAGGGCCGCTGCCACAATATGTTGTGGTTTACAGATAGGCTGCGATATCTGCACCTTTTTTCCCCTGCTCTGTTTTGTGTGCAAAGAAAACAAGAACATTACATAATTTCAATAATGCATTTGCTATATCTATATTAATAAAAATGTTAATTTTCCGTGTTTGTTAACTATAGACTCAAAAACTACTGAACCGATTGCTTTCAAATTTTCACACAACATTGTGTTCCACTATACGCGTGTTTATATGTAAGTGTTGCAGAAACCACAAACAATGTAGCTATAGCAACGATCAAATCATTATTTGTTTTGTTGCCGGCCCGAATTTGTTTTTAGTTCCACTGAACTTTGACTGTGTTTGTAACACTAAACTTTCAATTATTATATAATTTCATTTTTACCTAATTCTCCAGTGTTTGGTAGTTTAAGTATTCTGACGCCGGATTACCCCCCTGGGTGCTAAGAAAAAAATTTGGGGCTCTTAACAGGGCCGCTGCCACGATGTGTTGTGGTTTACAGATAGGCTGCGATATCTGCGCCTTTTTTCCCCTGCTCTGTTTTGTGGTTAACAGCTAGCCTGCGACAGCAGCGGCGAGATGCTCAATGGTCATGTCTTGAGAGAGCGATTGGCACGTTGTGTTGTGCTTTAAAGCTAGGCTGCGATATCTTAATCAAAATCCTGAGTCTTTAGTTGTATAGTTGTAAGTATTCTGCCCGTCATGCGGGTGACCGGTGTTCGATTCCTCAACTGGTGCAAATTGTTTTGTTTGCCCTTAAAAGGATGGTTGGCACGTTGTGCTGTGGTTTACAGCTAGGCTGCGATGTCCGCCCCTTTCACTCCAACACATCCGATTTCAGCACAGTCCTAGTTAGCCTCCCCTTGATGCTTCACTGGATCAAAAACTATTTGTTGATGACAGGCACTGTTTACTAAGACATCTCAAAGTCCATTTTAGTTTGGGTGGACATGGATGCCAAGGTCAATAAACTTGGGGTTCAGTAGATAATTTAGTTTTTTTAATAATTTTTTTATGCCAGGGGCACAATTAAACCAAACAGTTCGTAGCGACAGCACTAGCCATTGCAGCGCTAAAGCCTCTGTCTACACTGACCTACAAAGACAGTAGTGACAGTTTTATTATTTGTTGTTGTGAAGGTGGTGGTGGTAGTGGTAGCAGTAGTACTTGTACTCGATGGGTTATGTGGCAGCTGTTACACTGGCCACATTTACTTCTCAGTACAGATTAATGCTACCCATTTTAGTCTGGGTGCACACGGATGCCAAGCTCAATTTAATTACTATATTTCGGCAGGTGATGACTTTCTAATCCTTCAGAGAGGAAGATATGATTGAGATGACAGACACTGTTAACTGAGAGAGCTTGAAACTAGGGCTGTACCGAATATTCGCTTTGTAGCCGAATAGTGGACCTAATAACTATCCGGTATTTAGCCAAATACTTGAGGCCGGGCCGAATACGAACAGTGGTTACCTTACACCTGTTTCTGCATACACTGCGATGGACTGAAATAACTCTCTCATTAACACAATAGTTACTGTTGCTTAAATCTGTCGTAAAGGAGGGGGGGGGGCGGGGAACTGCTACCCAGCGTGGTACAGCAAAGGTTCTCAAACTGGGTATGTGTTCCAGGGGTGCCGCAGGGAAAATCAAGAAAAGTCGGCTATAAATTGTGACATTATTAAAGAAGGCATGAAGATACTTAAAGAGGACAGGCAAAAACTGCATTTTAAAAAATGAAGAACATTATGCAATATATCTTTGTCATTGAAGGTTAGAAAAAGAATTCTTGCTTGCAACATACATCCAGTTTCAACATATGGCTGTGAGTCCTGGACAATTGGTAGGCAGGTTAAACAATTTATTGAGGCCTCAGAGATGTGGTTTTACAGAACAATGCTCAAAATACCTTGGACAGCAAAACAAAACAAAAAAAGAAAGCAACCAAGAGGTTTTAACAGAGGCGGGAGCCCGAAGACAACTAATCACAGACATCAGAAGGAGACAAATATCATTTTTCAGCCATGTTATGAGAAGAGGGAAAATGGAACATGTGATGACCACTGGAAAGATCTGTGGCAGGAGGGAAAGAGAAACACAACAAGAGAAGATTGTTGACAGTCTTGTTGCATGGCGTGGAGATGTGTCAGCACACGAACTAATACATGCTGCAGGAGATCGCAGATTGTGGCGAGGAATAATCACCAATGCTAGTCGGCAAGGCACATGATGATGTTGATACACTATTCGTATTCTGCCAAATAGTTGGTTTCGCTATTTGTATTCGGCCAAATAGTTAAAATCACTTTTTGGTACAGCCCTACTTAAAAAATTATTTTATAGTTCTTATTTCTTAACTATTTATATTTTAATAATTTTGTCAGGTGATGATTTTCCAATCCTTCGGAAAGGCAGATATGATTGGAGGGGGAAGGGCGGGCTTAATGACAGAAGCTGTTAGCTGAGAGAGCTAAAAACATTATTTAAAAGTTCTCATTTCTTAACTATTTATATTTTAATAATGCTTCCATGGCTATTCTCATTATTTTTTGTTTTTTTGTTTGTTTAGAATTTGCTGGTCATTTAGAGGTATAGTAGTCAGCTGTATCCTAATTTACCATCATATTTATCTCTCCCAAGATGTTACAGACATATTTACAAAAGATTGTGGAAAAGCAAGCTAGGTAAAAAAAAATTATTTTTTAAAGAGCACATTTTGGCTGTTGTGGTTTTTTTCTAGGCAAATTTTACTTTCAGTAGTTTGCCATTGCTTACTGAATGGTCAGCTCTCAGTACCACTGTTGAAACCAATGCAAGACAAATTGTACGCAGCTGGGATTAAACCCGTATGAGAGTTACATCTTATTTAATTATGCTTTATAAAGTAATTTTGTCTTGCTTTTTAAGTTTCCAAGCGTTAACTACCGCAAACATATATTTTATTCTAATGAATCAAAGCTATGTAAGCACAACTTTAAAAAAAACAACATAGTGACATAATACATTAAATTATTTATAATAATAATACGAACCATATTAAAATATGATGCATTACATAATGTATTTATCTCATAATTTTTATTGTGGGTGGCACTGATCAACTTACCGGAATGGGAGAAATGGGGGATTTGTGCCTGCCACTAGAGGTCTGTAAGCTTCTTCTGGTGTTTTTTTCAAGTAAATGATCTACACCAAAGATGAAAAACAAAGCAAAAATAATTCAGGAACACAAGTTTAAACACTGATAGCCAGTTTTTTCCCTTGTTGTTTACAGAAGTAAGCAAAAGGATGCAGCAAAATTCTCACATAACTGGATATCACTAAATTACCTATAATTTTTTTTTTAAATCTATGCACATTTACAATATATTTACTATTTATCATGAAATATAAATCTACACAGATATTAAGGAACAAATCTGTTCATTTAATTTATTCTTCTAGCTTTCCTATATGTCAGTGACACATACACACCTCATCCAAGCAAATGCCAGTTAAGCTTATTACTGATTCAAGAATCAACACTATTGCTTACCAGGCATATATAAAGATGTGCTGTCTCCCGCAGTAAATGTCTTAAGGTGTAGATTGACTGTTACATTTGAATAACTGTACACATGTCATTAAGGTGTAGATTGACTGTTACAGTTGAATAACTGTACACATGTCATTAAGATGTAGATTGACTGTTACAGTTGAAGAACAAAATGTACACATGTCATTAAGGTGTAGATTGACTGTTACAGTTGAATAACTGTACACATGTCATTAAGGTGTAGATTGACTGTTACATTTGAATAACTGTACACATGTCATTAAGGTGTAGATTGACTGTTACAGTTGAAGAACAAAATGTACACATGTCATTAAGGTGTAGACTGACTGTTACAGTTGAAAAACTAACTGTCCTTCATGAGTTTGCTGACTTTGATGATCTCTCTTATTTGACATGTTTGTTTTCTTGGTTTTCTTATACCATTTCTTGGTTTAATTATACCACTCATCATATGGATGACTGTCATAACTGTCACAGTTGCTATGGATTCAGTTATTTTCCTTCTCTCCTTCCTCTGGGCTAGGATGAAATTGATATTTTGTGTGTGCATGTGGTCCAAGTTGTTCCACATCATGTAAACATTTCTGATTCTCTGTTTGAAAAAAGTATTGGGTATAAAGTTGGCATATGTGGCCTAGGTGTTGCGAATGTGTATCGTAATGTTGAGGTGCCGGGTTCAATCGTGGCTGCTGGCCTTGCGCTGGTTTCAACAGTGGTATTGAGAAGCCGACCGCCTAGGAAGCAATGGCAAACTACTGAACGTAAAAAATGCTGGGGTTGGTTCTGCAACGTCCTGTAAAGAATACGCAACTAACTTATTGGGTATAAACAAATCACACTGGTTACACAGTGATAGTAATCTTAGGCCATTTCCAATTTTCATACTTTTTGGGTCTCAAATATTCTTTAACTTCTGTTCTGTCATGACCTGGTTTTGCATTAAAATCCACCAAAACATTTTTTCTTCTCTCGTAATGCTTTTTATGACATAATGTTTGGTAAAACTCGTCAGCTGTGTTACATGGTGTATAAATCTGTAGGCATGTTGTGATTTCCTCATTCTCTTTGATTCTAATTAAAATAATTCTTTCTGATAGGAATTTTACTTCAGTTATTCTCTTAGCTATTTCTGTTTCAATAATAAAACTTACATGTTTTGTCCATTAGTGGTCACTGGTCGTTTTCTATAGGTATCAGCTTGATTTCTCTTACTGTTTCTTCAAGCAAGATTTTAATCAACTGCCAGCTTGCTTGCCCAGTCACAGTTCAAGACAGTATTTAAGCAGATGGATCCCATCACATCTACTGAGCCAGAGCCCCATTACCCTGAGACCTCAGATTACCAGTGTGCACCACATAAGTAGATTCTCTTAAAATATTGACAGATATAAACACTGTACATAATTCATTTCATCACAGTTTTTCTCTTCTCAACATTTAGCATCATATTGTCTTTTAAAAGAAGGCCAATTTTTTTTTTTTTTTTAAATATACACCTGTTCCTTCCTTGTAACATAGCAGAAATACACTTAATGTTGTTAAAGCTTAAGGTTGAAGATGAGAGGACTGACTTCACTGCTCTGCATTTTAACTCAAAAGGTTCGGTGTCTCTCAGCAAAACGTGTCAGGATAGCCAAGAGGTCCAATGACAACCTTCTCAGTGATACTGAGCCAGTATTCTGCTCCATCAATGTGGATATGGGTTTAAAACCCACTTTTTGTGATGAAGTTGACTGAAGCCATCCCATAACCTGTTTTCAAATCAATACAAGAGCAATGGAAGCCATTTTAACGGTGAATTGCCTAGACATGAGACCCTGATAGGACATTTTTCACTAACAATAGCTTATTCGATTTTAAAACACTTTCAAAATGAACTTACAGCGTAAGATGCTATCAAAAAAGCAGCATTAGCCCGCTTGTGTGGATCAAAGCTGGTATAGTGTACAATGCGTTTCTTTGCCAGTGAAAATGACTTGAGTTTTTTATTCACTAGGCAGCAGAAGCGATATAAAAGTCCCAGATTGACAGGTCCAAAATCTGCATAAAAACTGAAATATATAACAGATTACCACTGGAAAAATGCTGCCTTCTAGAGTGAAGTTAATTTTCAATAGTTATTGAAATTCTTCCAGTTTTTTTTTCTTTGAGAACCACCATTTAAAAAAGAAGTCTCAACAAATGATAAACTGGCAGTCAGAGCAGTGAAAGCTGCAAAACCACTAAAAACATGGAACAAAAGATAAATGCAGTTGAAAACAAATGTATGAGGAAAATGTTGAACATAAAATGGGATCATTCAAGAGCAGTGAGGAAATAAGAGAAATGTCCAGGCAACCAATGGTACCAATAGTTAAAAGAAGATGGCACTACATTAGATACATCATGAGATGAAATTAGCAGAGAGCACCAAACAGGGACTAAAACAGGAAATAGAAGGATTAGGAAGCGAGGACACCTAAAAGAAAACTTAAAACAAACTCTGATGAGAGTGGACTAAAGTGGTGGACTGGATTCCATCTATGACAGTCAAATGATTGCACAGGATATAATCAAATGGAGGATGAATGAATATATGAATGAATAAATGAAGAAAACCTCAGAAACCACATTTCAAATTTGATCTGATATATCTCAGCTTCTCTATTGTGTCCACTTCACAGCAACAGTACAGATTCTAAACAGCACTATCACTTTTTTTTAAACTGACATTTTTATTGGTACGTTTTCCATCTTACACAAAGTTATTTGTAAGGCATCTTGCATCACATCTAACGACTATTCCAAATATTTATATGGATTCACTCATTTTTAAATGTTTCCATTTACATGGATGATACAAGCGATATTTATTTCTTGTTGCAGATTACTATAACTCCTGTTTTCTCGCAATTTAAATAAACTGACTGCCACAGACAATAAAAGCATTCAAGCCAAATATCTTGGAAGAGTCTTTGTAAAAGCAAATTCTAGATGGACTACAAATAAAAGAAGTACTCATAGAAAATAAAACAGACAAAATTTCATGCAAAAGACCCAGGGCTACCCCCCCCCCTTTTCCAAATACACCATTGGGGAATCTTACAGTAAGAGAAAAAAAATTTATATATATATATATATATATATATATATATATATATATATATATATATATATATATATATATATATATATATATATATATATATATATATATATATATAGCATAAATGCATAAAGATGGCAGCAATCAGTAGATAAAGTTTCAAATGTAGCACCTAAAGAATTTAGGAATTTAGTCTAGACACTATTAATTTTATTTCACTGGCATCTTAAAAACCTACACATGTAAAATAAGGGTGCAGTAAATACAATATTGTATGAACATAGCGCTGCCTCAAGGAACCAAAAAATGTGTGGTGCGGCTGATTAATGCCTCTCATGATTCAGTTTATGTAAACCATAGCTTGAGTACACACAGATAGTTTTCATCTTCTTCCAATGAAGCATAGGCCCTCAAACAACTAAGGCCAAATCATTTTATCTTTGTTATCAAATTCAGCTCCCTCATTTCCTCTCCATCTTTTTATTAAACTCTAGTTTCTTCCTTAATGTATTTCTGATCTGCCTGTATTTTTATGACCCTGTGGTAGCCTTGTTTTCAAAAATATAATGGAACATTTTGTGTAAACAACAGAGATCTTAATTTAGTAGAGTAAGCAATCAGGGTTAGAACTTGACTATCTGAAAACAGTCAATTTCACCAATTCCAAGAAGAAACACACCACCATATCCAAAGGAAAGTTTTTTAAAAATCTCATTCATGTGAAATATACAAATATAAATGTGACAATGGCAGTGAAGAAAGGAATATTAAAGTGTTACAGAGATCTGACATCCTTATGTGCAAGTGACATGTGGAAAATAAACACAGAGAAAAAACATATAATGGCAGAGATGAAGAACTCAGGGGAAGGAATATATTTACAGCAGCAGACACAAAGGCAGCTTCCATCAAGATATCATCAGACTGGAGAGAGTGTTAAGAATGGTGTAAATGGCTGGAAAAATTAGACGGCTGGTAACAGATTTGTAAACACTGTCAGTTCTGCTATGAAGAGATATCAGGAAATCAAAAAAAGTCTGGTAATGATAAAAAATCAGGCCCTCCTAGCACATTTGGACGCAAGCTGGACGGCTTCGGTCGGCTTAGTGGGAGTTCTCTCCCTTGGCCGAACTCAAAAACAAGTAGCGGAAAAAGTCACAAATCAAACAAGACAGTGAGGTCGACATCAGGGCTGCCAATGCTTGGGTGTGTCCCCCAGATCTGGGTGTTTTTTTTACGCTGCGGGGAAATCTGGTTTTTTGTGTGTGTGTGTGTGTTTTGCCGATCTGTATGCTTTAATGACCGATAAATTTGCGTGGTTAGGGGTAGGGTTAGGGGTAGGATTAGGGTTAGGGGTTAGGATTAGGGGTAGCGTTAGGGTTGCGGTTAGGGTTAGGCGTAGGGTTAGGGTTAAGGTTAGGGGTAGGGTTACGGTTAGGGTTAGGTCTAGCGTTAGATGTGACAATTTTGACGCCGTAGTTCCCTATAATCGCGCACAGTCACATCACTACTTGCAATTTCATGTTTTTTATTCACCAAGTGTATATTGTACATGGTGAATGCTAAACCACACAACTGTAACTAAGACACACACACAAAAAGTACCCCAAAAAAAAGGCAAATTTAGCATAAACTGATAAATGGCAAATGCTATCTCAAATGAAGATAAAAATCATGTATTGATATTTTTATATAAGATGTCAACAAATGATTAGATGAAAACATGAGAAAATATACTGTACTTCTATGGTGCTCAATGGCAAATACGTAACTAATCACAATGCAAAGAGTTTTGCAAACTTACTTCTCATAAACAAGCTCTTCATCAATACAAAAGTAATGGGTGTGACTGGTAGATTTTGGTTTTGTGCGCAGGGAGGCAAAGTACAGTCGATCTATTTTCCAAATATCAAAAGAAAAAACAATGATGGAAATGTAACAATAACATAAAATTAACATTACATTAAATAAAAAATGTTAACATTTTTGTTTTGCTAATTACACATCAATCTTTACATTTTAAACTGATCCCGTTCAAAATAATTTTGCTTTGGTTCAGTTATGGATAAAGAAAGAAGGAAACAACAACAAAGGTGACATATCTAACTGCATATTTCATTCAAATCATTTATTAATGAATAGAAGACATGAAACTATAAAAACTACAGTCAGCAAATATTATTCAACAATACAAGTTAGGAGTTATGAGTCCTGACACATCCATAGGTGCTCAGATTCCCCTCTCATCATATTCGTCGCATTGTGCGGTTAATAGTGCCAGTCCTATGCTGGCTGACAAGACTTCGTGTGCCGATCTTTAGTCAGAATTCTCGTATTCTCAGCAGTGATGTAGACACGTTGCTTGCAAAATCCTCGAAACGTCCAATTTCTTTAAGGTAGGGCTGTACCGAATAGTGATTTTCACTATTCGGCCGAATACGAATAGCTGGACCAACTATTCGGCTAAATACGAATACAAATAGTGAATCATCATCATCATGTGCTTTGCCGGCTGGCATGGGCGATTATGCGTCGCCACAATCTGCGATCTCCTGCAGCACGTATTAGTTCGTGTGCTGACACACCTGCATGGAAAAACCTTCGTTCCATGTTGTCAGCATTAGGCCAGCTTTTTGTCTCACTGAAGGTATTTCCAGCTGTACTAAACAGGAAAATACGACAAATACAGAGAGTCAAAATGAAAACCCGCAAGGCGAAACATCAAAAACAAAAATAACGCTGACGAAGAAAACAATGCCGTCCTTACAAGTCGCCCAGCCCCCCGCGAGCTCACGAAACCAGACGCCGGGCGGCCAACGCCAGAAGATCAAACAACAAAGACAATCAAGAAACCGAACGTCGATCAAAACATTCAGCCGCTAACGTTTCCACGAGACGACGAAAGAACAGATACGACACCCATAAATGATGACCAACTCCCGTAACTTCAAAGAATCAACGAAGAGGACACTCCACTCAAAGAAATCAAGCCGACAACACTAGAACACTTGCTTTTCTGCCCCTCTTACATTTTTAAGTGTTGCATTTTGTTTCTACAGCAACACACCTAAAAACACTATACTCGCAACACATGCAAGATGGAAATAAAGGGGCACTTGGTACGCTCGTAGGTGGTGCACAAAGATAACGCTTCACAGTATAAACCAAGGTGGGAGGTCTTGATGTTTTTTTCCACCAGTCCAGAAACGGTTGTGAGGTAACCGCTATTCGTATTCGGCCCGACCACAACTATTCGGCCGAATACCGAATAGTTATTGGGTCCACTATTCGGCCCCGAAGCGAATACGAAGCGAATATTCGGTACAGCCCTACTTTAAGGGCATTGACAATGTCTGCGTGATCCATGGGCCGGCCATCTTCTATTATTGTCAGTCGAACAGCTCTTTCATTATCAACAACCCCTGGGACAAATATGAAGGTAACTGCACACACAGGAGAGTTTTGCAATTACTTAATCCACTGGCTGCGTAATCAGCCTGCCTCAACCTGCCGGATCATGCTTAAAGAATCGCTCAGCAAACTCACGTAGGAATAGTCCTGTGATTCTAGCAACATGAAAGCCTGCGTCATCACCATCACCTTTATCGTCATGCTGCTTGTGGTCATGAAAAAGGCACGCTGGCTTCTTGAATTGCTCTGCCTTAAGAGCTGTACATGCCCATGCACTCTTATGTCTTCGTATAACGTACCTCTCTGTGAAGATCAGCACACCTGTCTCATCTGACTTGTCACTGATAAGCGTGAATACCTCAGAGTTGACAGCAGTGCAATTCTGCTTCTGGCAACTTCTATCAAACGTCACGACACAGGAGAATGTGAGATTGGGGGCTTTAGACGCTGGTATCCATCACGATGTCATATTCTCTGCCCTACACAGCCAAGATTTGCCCTTTTTCATGAAGAGCATTGGTGCTTCAGATCTTGATCCTGTAGTTGATGGTAGGGAAGTCAAGAAGGTACCTCACTGCTACACATGAGGTGTCGCCTGTGCACCCCAGAATAATGCTTCGTTTTGCACCTTCTCAAGTATTTCAATCTGGGTATGGCTGACAGTGAGGATGGCTAAAGCATATTCGATGGGAGAAAGAACAAGTCCCTGGAACAAAAGCAGAAGCAGTCTCTGCTCAGCATTAGCTGTCGCGAGGACCCTCATTGCTAACAGGCCTTTGCGTGCTTGTGTTACAACATGGTCAACATGTTTTTTGAGGACAGGCTGCCATCAAACCTCACTCTGAGGTCATCTTTTCTGCCCTACACAGCCAAGATTTGCCCTTTTTCATGAAGAGCATTGGTGCTTCAGATCTTGATCCTGTAGTTGATGGTAGGGAAGTCAAGAAGGTACCTCACTGCTACACATGAGGTGTCGCCTGTGCACCCCAGAATAATGCTTCGTTTTGCACCTTCTCAAGTATTTCAATCTGGGTATGGCTGACAGTGAGGATGGCTAAAGCATATTCGATGGGAGAAAGTACAAGTCCCTGGAACAAAAGCAGAAGCAGTCTCTGCTCAGCATTAGCTGTGGCGAGGACCCTCATTGCTAACAGGCCTTTGCGTGCTTGTGTTACAACATGGTCAACATGTTTTTTGAGGACAGGCTGCCATCAAACCTCACTCTGAGGTCATCTTCTCTGCCCTACACAGCCAAGATTTGCCCTTTTTCATGAAGAGCATTGGTGCTTCAGATCTTGATCCTATAGTTGATGGTAGGGAAGTCAAGAAGGTACCACACTGCTACACATGAGGTGTCGCCTGTGCACCCCAGAATAATGCTTCGTTTTGCACCTTCTCAAGTATTTCAATCTGGGTATGGCTGACAGTGAGGATGGCTAAAGCATATTCGATGGGAGAAAGTACAAGTCCCTGGAACAAAAGCAGAAGCAGTCTCTGCTCAGCATTAGCTGTGGCGAGGACCCTCATTGCTAACAGGCCTTTGCGTGCTTGTGTTACAACATGGTCAACATGTTTTTTGAGGACAGGCTGCCATCAAACCTCACTCTGAGGTCATATTCTCTGCCCTACACAGCCAAGATTTGCCCTTTTTCATGAAGAGCATTGGTTCTTCAGATCTTGATCCTGTAGTTGATGGTAGGGAAGTCAAGAAGGTACCTCACTGCTACACATGAGCTGTCGCCTGTGCACCCCAGAATAATGCTTCGTTTTGCACCTTCTCAAGTATTTCAATCTGGGTATGACTGACAGTGAGGATGGCTAAAGCATATTCGATGGGAGAAAGTACAAGTCCCTGGAACAAAAGCAGAAGCAGTCTCTGCTCAGCATTAGCTGTGGCGAGGACCCTCATTGCTAACAGGCCTTTGCGTGCTTGTGTTACAACATGGTCAACATGTTTTTTGAGGACAGGCTGCTATCAAACCTCACTCTGAGGTCATCTTCTCTGCCCTACACAGCCAAGATTTGCCCTTTTTCATGAAGAGCATTGGTGCTTCAGATCTTGATCCTGTAGTTGATGGTAGGGAAGTTAAGAAGGTACCTCACTGCTACACATGAGGTGTCGCCTGTGCACCCCAGAATAATGCTTCGTTTTGCACCTTCTCAAGTATTTCAATCTGGGTATGGCTGACAGTGAGGATGGCTAAAGCATATTCGATGGGAGAAAGTACAAGTCCCTGGAACAAAAGCAGAAGCAGTCTCTGCTCAGCATTAGCTGTGGCGAGGACCCTTATTGCTAACAGGCCTTTGCGTGCTTGTGTTACAACATGGTCAACATGTTTTTTGAGGACAGGCTGCCATCAAACCTCACTCTGAGGTATGTCTTCAGATTTGTTCTCGTCAACATTTTTTCCTTACTTCTCCACTGCTGGTAAGTCTGCCTTTACTATATGTGTGTTTAAGGAGAACCAATTTACTGAGGCCTTTGAAGGGTTGACATGAGCATTAGAATCTCTTCTTTTTTTTGTTCTGTATTTTGTCCAGTTTGTGTAGGTTTGATCTGGCTGCAGTCGAGTATGCTCCCATGCCATACTCTTAGTTTTGGTCGTATGTATCCTGTGTATACTTGTTGTACATCTGCACCTCAGCTTGTTTCAGCAAGTTTGTTTACAAGTCTGAGCCCCGGGGTAGCTTTCCTTTGGGTGTCTTTAAAGTGGTTCCCCCAGGTTACCCTTTTGCCAAATTTTACTCCCAAATATGTGGAAGGATGATGCCTTCTAGGTACAGATCAACTTGTTCTGGCTTTGTGGAAAGAGGGAAGAGAGTTGAGGTATATTGTGACTCACCAAGAGTCTGTCCATTTCTTAACTGTATTTATAGCTTCCTGCATTCTCATTTTAGTTGTTCCTATATGTTCAGCTTGGGTCCATATAATCTGCATGTAGGGCCTTGTGAATGTGAGTCATGAACTGTTTTGGGAGGTCACTGATGAAACAAATAAACAGGGTAGGAGATATAACACCTTTTTCTTCTCTCGCTCTAGACATGAAGATTTTGTTTTCCTCTGCAAAACTGTCAGCCAGCAGGCTCGCTGCTTGTTTACCAATTAAAGTTTTCCCACCATCCTCAGTGATAGTGTTGGCATGGCTGGTATTTTTCTCCTCAGACTCCTTACTAGATGCCATAGCTTTTTACCATCTTTCTCCATGTTGAGAGCTGGAGTATTTTCCTGCCATCTTGCCCAGATGCATGTGAGGTTTTCTCTTTTATTTTATTGTGTTATGTTACACTGAGGTCACAGGTCACCATTTTTTTTCTCTTGCTTCCGCACTTCTCTGGTGCAGTTGTTGCAGATCTTGGGTCCAGAAGGGCTCATAATTTTGCCTTCGACCTTTTGGGATTGATTTATGTGCTACTTCAAGTATGATATTGGTAAGAGTTGTGGTGTTTTGAGAAGTCCCAGTCTACTTTCTTGTAGTTCCAGCTGGCTATCTTCTTCCTGTTTTCTGGTGGCTTGACCTCTCCTATCATGACAACAACTGGTTTACGAACACTTCCCAGAAAATGTACTGTAAGAGAGAAAAATAGTAGGTGTTTGTACAGATGGTGCTCCAGCTATGATAGGTTTTCATTTTCAATTTGCCTATCTATGTTCCCAAATCGCACTAGACCCAACCGACACTGAAGAATATTGCCTTTTTCACTAATATTTATTTTCTTTGTACCAAATGACTATGTTATTGTTGTATGCTTTGCCCGAGGTACATACCAGGATATCCCTTATCAAAGTTCGACTCTATCAATGACTGAAACAAGTTTTCTTCGTAACTCTGTTTGCTAAGAGTCTTTTATTTAAATATTAGGCATATAAAGTCATAAATCTTGCTGTCATGCAAATCTGCTTGGAGGCCATATTGTTTATACACAGGCAGTAGCTCGGCAAAGCTCACAAAAATGCTAGTTTTTGCGTTCAACCACATTTGCAAAAAAGATTAATAGTCAAAACATCTGAAATCAAACACAAAGAACAGGAAATACTATCAAAACTGCCCGTTTGCATTCGTGGTAAATTAAAAACCAGTTCACGTCACGTGCCGATTGGCTGCTTGGATAGTAACCGATTAGTGTGTGATGTGTTCCTTGGGACTCAAAGAGTTAAGGATTGCAGTTTGGAACTTTATTTAACTAACTAAATAAAGTGTTTTTAAAAAAAATGGTTGATTAGTATTTAAATATTCTACCTTCAGAAAGTTCTCAATTTGCTGAAGCAATTCAAACAGCAATATTGAAATATCAGCTCTTCTTCGATCCCCCCCCCCCCCCCCCCCCCCCCCCCATACCATCATATTATGGCGGCCAAACAAATACCCTAACAGGGCCTAAGTCCTATGAGGAATTCCTGCCGAGGAACAAATCACAACAAAACTAGGATCGGCTCCGAATAATGAAACAAATGCTCTAACAGGGTCTCAGCGATATGTTTATTGCGGACCTGTTTCTGGACTATGCGGCACCGCCAACAGTATCCCCTGCAACGCTATGCGCGGCGTGGATGGGGGGAGGGGCTAAACTAGATGGCTGGGACTCATGAGCAGAAGCTACCGCATCTTCTGCAACTTCCTCCAATTTATTTGCTCCTGTGTCCCAAGCATCTAGTTTAGATTCCCCTCCGCACTGCGCGTAGCAGCGCAGGGGATACGCTCGGGGGTGAGTTTAATCAAAAGAACACTATCGCTAGTCTGCGCAGGAGCGCGTGGTCTCCCCGCCATGTGGCTATTATCGTCTGTAATGTTGCGCATCTCTAGATTGTCAATGTTGGCTAGTATTGTTTGCAGAAAAGCTTGAAATTGTCAGCAGTCGCTATTATCGTCTGTAGTGTTGCGTGTGTGAAATTGTCAAGTAATCCTAGTTTTGTCGCGATTTGTTCCTTGGCAGGAACTCAGCATTATACAAACGACTGAGGCCCTGTTAGGGTATTTGTTTGGCCGCCATTATATGTGGGGGTGGAGGGAGATCAGGGGGGGGGGGGTGCCGGTGCCGAAGGAGAGCCGAAATATCTAGGTTAGGTCAAAGGTTGTATCTTACCTTTAATGAACTCTGATGCACATCCAACTACTTCATTTTCCTCTGCCATTATTTGTGCAGCAGTGCACTTTGTGCTGTTATGTTAGGTCCGTTTTGCAATAATACTCCGATCCGGGGAACACAGATGACAGATGTTATGTTTTGTAGTTGTTAGGGGCAGTGCACTGCTAGTTAGTTACTGAACTCTGGTGAATACTGTAATGCCGTTGGGCAAAAACATGAGCTAAAATTAACGAATAAAAGAAAATACTTTGAAGCGCAGTAACAGAACTAATGTTTGTCTATAGTTTTACGTTATGAACATGTTTATTTAACTTTTAGCATGGCTGCACACTCAAAACAGTACAGACAGCAGAAGACGGACACTATCAATAACTAGCAGTTAGCTAGTCAGGGAATTCATATTTGATAGCTACATTACCATTTGTTTATGCCACTTTGCTTAAAATGAGACAGCATACTAACATAATATATAATCAAATTATTAAAAAAATGTTCAGTAATGAAAAAAAAGAAAACATTGATCAGGGACACAAACTTAAGACAGCCATCTTTAATTTTGAAAAATAGGGGAAATAGTTTTAGCAATTGTCACGTGGTAGTCCTCCACCACACAAAACGATTGTTCCAAGGTATCCATGACGATTTAAATACTAGCCAATGCAGCACTGTGTTACAAATGTAGACATAAGGAACTGACAATCTCGGAAGATACCAATCCAATATGACTAATAAATATTTCCCTGTAACACCATTTCCTATATATATATCTAGTCATCTCCATGTGAGATGTAATTTTTCGTTAAGCCATTAGACCATAAATATGGTCGGGCTATATTGCGGCCCCTGACCTTTTTACGGGGGATCCTCATCCACATGGTGGCGCTTTGTGTAATCGGATGTTTATTGCATGTATGATATTCTGGTGGGTTAAAGAAGATAGATAGATAGACTATTTCCTAAGTATTAATGCTGTATCTGTCGTTCCCAGTAGGGATGCAATTTTTAGTTATTTTGAAGCCCCACCCTGGCTTTTGCTGGGAGTCCTAAGTATAGTAGCCTTAAATATGGCTGAACGGGGTTTCGGGATCTCTCCACGAGTAAATCTCATCCGCATGGTGGCACTTTGTATCGCCGAGTGTTTATCTCTTACCTACCTACCATTTCCTACTCCGGAACCTCTCTAGGAGGGTAAAACTTACATATTTACCATGTCCTGTAGTAGGTCAAACTTAATCTCTGTCCCGATGTGGGACGTATTTTTTTTTTTTTTTGGTAGCCCCACCCTGGTTGTTGCCGGTGGCCCTATAATAACCTGACGGTTGAATGGGGCTTCTGGAACATCTCCACGGATGATCCCCATCCGAATGGTGGTACTTTGTGTCACCGGGTGTTGATCGCTTAGTGCCATGTCCTAGATGCATAAAAAGTCAGTCAGTCATGACTTGGTCACACTCAGAGAGTTTGCTTTTTTTCCTAAAAAAATAAGGATTGCATCTTAATACCAATGCTTCTGTAGATTGGTGTGTATGTTTGTGGATGCAATTCACGAAATATGTTGCATTCTTCAGTCCCAGATAACGTGTTTTGAAACTCTAACATTCGTACTATGCAAGCTGCGTAGTTTATTCATGACAAGAGCCAATCAATAAAGTTTAGCATCATGTTCTCAAAATTAGTAAAGAATTGTTTTGATGTAAGTGTCAGGATCTTGTTGTCCAGTGCTATTAGTGAGCTTCAGCTGACGAAGTAATTTGGTTGACATCAAGTTTTAAGAATATTAATAGACAGGATTTGATGTGCAGAAGGATTGTTTGTTCACAAAAGTAAGTAAAGAATTGTTTTGATATAAGTGTCAGGATCTTGTTGTCCAGTGTTATTAGTGAACTTAAACTGGCGAATTAGTTTTGTTGACATTAACTTTTAAGAAAATTAGTAGACAGGAGTTGATGTGCAGAAGGACTGTAAGTACAGTGGTCGGGGGCAGTCTAACTTGGAGGAGGATACTTGACTCTGGATCAAAGCCGAGACAAATATTGTCTTCAAATTGAGTCAAACTATGGTAACATGGACTCCAAATATTGTACAGTTATTACCTTTTTCGCAGTGTCTGGGAGACGGTTTGCTCAAAACTGCATGATAAGGAAAAATTAAACATTACTCGAGTGTGTCATGCGTGTATTTGATGGTACGCGAGGACGGCAAGTAAACGGTCATTGTTCCTTACTGATTATTATTTTTGATAAACAAGGATGCGAATGAAGCAGTTGAAGAGTTAGGAACGACAGCAAGCAGTGTTTTCATAGTCTGTGGATTTGTCATTATCATTACATCATCATATTGAAGCTTTTAATGAACGGTGTGTTGCCTGTCATTGCAATGTCGACGAATCACTGACGTTGCACAGTTGGAGTTCGGCAGAACTGAACTATTGGCCTATTTAGTGTTTCCGTTACATTTCCCTTGTCAGAGTAAATCAGTCTTACCTCCAGTGTCTTGGTCAAACATATCAATCCTTTCAGTTGCAAATTTAACCCGCATCACCTGCATAAGTTAGATGATATTTTCTACCATTTCTGTTGATGTAAGCCCAGAAATAGCACTCGCAGGCAGCGTGGGATAGCGGTGAGCGCTGGGTCTCAAGGATTATTACTTAAGTGTGGAATTAAATAATAATAATAATAATGTGCCGAAGACCAATAAATATATGGTGATAGTATATTTAACGGCATATGAAAAATGCATAAAGTAAAAAAGAAACCATTCAACGCCTTCGGGCGCATTGGGCGTCTGATTTCTATGGCACTCGGTGGGTAATGTGGTCAACGTCACGCTGACCGCCTTTACTTTCCTAATGCATGGGCCCGCTGAAAACTTGCCTGGAGGCCCCACCAGCATAGGGTCCCATGCTAATCTGCGTATATAAAGTGACTTGCCAGAAAATAAAATATGTTTGACCTTTAAATTAATTCTTTATAGTATAAAATTGAAATTCATTTCTCCCCCTACTCTCTCTCTCTCTCTCTCTCTCTCTCTCTCTCTCTCTCTCTCTCTCTCTCTCTCTCTCTCTCTCTCTCTCTCTCTCTTCCCTTTCCCTCTGTACTAAATATCATTTCTTTATGTTCATCACAATCCTTTCTCATACCATGGAACAGTGCATAGTTCAGCAGATGGTTTGGAAGCATCTTAAGCTTTTCAAATTAAATAAGGGATTTGTATTGTCTACCCGAGGTGCTTCTCACTGCCCCTTGTGTTATTCATATGCCCATATTCTGAACCTCTCATATGTTTCACAAACTCGTTTTCGCTTCTGCGCCCCATAAGCGAGGCGTATTCCATGGCGCTTTTTCTAAGTTTAAACACAATTTTACGTTACCTTTTTGCTCCATGCTGATTACATAAACATGCATGTATTATTTTTTAAATACTTTTTCTACAGTAGCCGGATGACCGTCGGGTATCAACCTTAGAACGTGATGCTCCCTACCGGACGGGGTGATTTCACTGGAATCCCCATTTACGCATTTACCTGAATTCACTATGTTTCGAGGTATGATTTTCTAGGGATAATACAGCGGTGGCTTCCCCTTGGCTTCAGCCGGTTTGTCTATAGTTTGACTCCAATAGCCTTTGTATAAAGAGACTTACCCTGCAAGGCAGCAGAGGGGAGAGGTTATGGCGCCTCTTACCCGCCGATGGCCAAGTCGTAGAGCTTTAGGTATTTGTAGAGTTAGTTGTCCCACCAACTAACTTTCCTTCTCTCAATGACCATCACCTGTTTTGGTCCACGACCACTTATTCAATATATTTGTGGCTAAGTAAGGGGCAGAACAATCGTCGACGTAGGAACTCTCTACTGATGAACGGTGGACCCCTGCTTTGTATGCTCCTCTGTGGAGTTCTTATAATGCTTTGGGAGTCGCCGTGGCGTTGGCAGCTAGACGCCCGCCTGCTGATCGGAAGGTCGTTGGTCCGCGACCTGAAAGACTCAGTCTTTTTTCAAAAATGATCTTGACTCCCTGGTCGACCCAGCCTTAAGTGGTATCCAGTTGCAGTTCTGGGAAGTAAAGGCGGGACAACACCCACCTAGTGCCGATTTTCTATAAAAAAGAGGTTTAACCCTATATTCTTAATATGCCTAAAGATGTGGAAAAGGGACCTTTACTTTTTGTTTATATTAAGCTTCTCTTTTCAGCCTAGCACCTAAGTACACCGCAATTTGGTTTCAGGAAAGGAATAGCATGCACAGATGTGTTATTCACACTAAGACATGTTTGCGCAAATCCATTGAATATATGACAATGAGCTGCATACTGTATTTGTAGATCAAGCATAAAGCTTTTGACACAGTAGTCAGAAACAAACTATGGGTTATTCTTGAGGAACATGGGATACACGGACAATTGCTAGATAACATCGTGGTCATGTACTGCACTTCCCGAAGCACAGGGAGAACACAAGAAGCCAGTTACAGAATTTAACTATCTAGGAAGTATATTCTCGGAAGACAGGCGAAAAAAGCGAGAAATAGAAACAAGATACCAACGAGCTAGTGTACTTATATACCAGCTGACACCGTTATTAAAGACAGCGAAACGTTCGTATCAGCACCACGAAACAGATTATAAACGGAGCAATTGCACCAACAGTGTGCTACCGTGTGTGACGTAACGGGTGGTTTAAATGTTTATGCTGTTGAGTAGGGATCCTCCTTTCAACACATTCTCTCCACTAGATAAACCGAACTAAAATCTGAGCTATGTTGCTCTCAGACAAAGTCCTGGATATCCAAGAAAACAGCCATATTGGCTCGTTAAGTACTTTAACATTAGCTGCACTAGGTACCCA